GGGGCGAAAAACTGAATCAAGTGATTTTCTAAAATCCACTTTAAAGACAGTTGCACTTTTGCATACACATGTCGGACATTAAGAGAGTAAAACAATTGACAGGTTAGGCCTGCGCGATTGATGCATAGAAGCGTCACGGCCAAGCTACTTTGCAAAGGTATTTAAGGTGTGTATGGTGTGGCATTGGCTTCAATTCGAAATGCTTTACCTCAATAGCCCTCTTTAACAACTCATATAAATTGTTAAGAGCAGAAGAAGACTGTCCAAGTTGAAGCGGCCTGTCCAATCTCACCGCATGTAAAGAATTTCATAGCATCGCATCAATTCAGTTTTTGTCTCCGATTAAGCGGTTTCATAGATCTCTCGAAGAATATGATATGATGTTCTCATATCACTTCAGCGGGATGTCTCTCAAAAGTTGCGCTATTTTCTCGAACCGCTTCTTATAATCGGGCGTGTAAAAACGTTTGCAAAAAGTTTTCATAGAATGAAAAGTTGCAGTCTTTGTTAATCTTTTTTACAGCTATCACCAAGTTTTCAGCTAGATTACGAAGCGTTATCGCTTTGATCAAAATGAGATTATAAAATATAGTGAAATTTTTTACAATTTTGTTGACTCACTTTCGCAACGCAATTACCTTCGTCTCAATTGCCAAATGACTGAGTTTTTTGCGGACAGAGTTAATTGTTAGCAAAGGTGCGCAACTCGAAAGGCACCTATTGCGGAAAACGCTACGAACATATTCCTTGATTTAATATTTACCCACAGCATATATTATAAATGGATAAGAAAGGTGTATTGATCTCTCAGTTAATAATTAAAGTGAATGTAAAATGTTCTAACAGAGCCGACCCTTTCTTTAATTGGCTTATTCTGCGGCCAAAGATGTTCAAAAGTCTGCGATAAAATGTCTCAAAAATGAAGATTCGGGATTCATAGCGCTTCTTAAAAAATTTGAGGTTCTTCATAGCAGATTGCTATTGAAAACGAGGTAAATCGTTCAAAAGACATACCTACAGCATGCGGTCCAAGACCGCATTAACAGTAGGTTTCACCTACCCAACGTTATAGAGCATCGAAGCTTAATTTTGTGTTTATCTTAGAACAAAGGTGGTCTTTAGGATACAAAAGATTCGGAAAGAACAGAACATAACTTTCTCGCTTGTTTTTCGAGTAAATTAGGCAGCTTAGATGTCTCCGGCATTCAAGCACAGCGATTGCAATATGCCGAACGATCAAATCGCTTTACAACGATGTTCAGTGCCATTAATGAGAACTTTTATTGATGTTTCTTAATAATTTTGTCAAACGTCACGTTTCCGCTCTTTACTTAATGCAGCTTTATGAGCTCATAAATTCGAACCTTTATGAAAAATATGTGACCAAGTTGGCATATTACATGTATATGTCCTTTTGAGTGACGAATAATCAATCATAATTGGATAATCAATTACGTTCATGGTACATGCACTCTTTGTTTGAGGACATTGCGACATACATAAGACAACGTTGCATATATCCAGCCAAGATTAAAGGACAAATCACCTATACGCGCGGCAAAAAGCTTGAAGATCTCGTTTGCGTTTTCAAATCGAACTTAGATACACACTTCCCCCTGGTGCAGATCGCCATTAATCTTACATATATTTAAGAAACTAGTTGTGCAAAGAAGAAAAATTGTTTGTTCATTGCGACTGACTGTAAACTACTGAAGGAGAACTTAAACAACATATTTATGTAGCATATTTTTTGGGTTTTATATATATAATTTTATCCCATGCCAAAAAAAAATCCTGAATTGTTTTTTAATACAAGTTTTAGTTCCTTAAGAATTTTTTTTTTTAATCCTCACCCTATATAAATGCAATCTTTTATAAGAGGAACCTTAATTTTTCGGACTGTATGCAGACTTTATTGAGCTACTGTATGATGAAACGGGGATTTCTCCACGCAATAAACAGAATTATTTAGGACGCTTTAAAAATGCTCTAATTTAGATATTGATTACATAAGGTATGAATTGCTGCAACGGTTATGTCCACAGCTTAAAGCTAAGAGTAGACCATGCTGATTCTGCCGAAAACTTCTACTTAGATAGGTAAACACCTTTCTAAAAATGCTACTGTCATTTTAACCCATAGGGTTAAAGTTAATTAGAATCAATCAAACCTTACTCGATATTTTTAATCATTATTATTATTACAATCGATTTAGACCAAAGAAATAAATTCTAGGACGAGCTCTAGTAACTAAGTTTATCGCCTATTTTGTCTTTCTTTTGTATTCCTTTTTTTAACGTAGATTAGATGGTTAGTTTAGCAGCCTTAATAAAGTCAAATATTGCATTGGTATCAAGTCCTGTGTGTTGCAATGGTATGCCCATGTCAGATTTTGCAAATTTTTTGATTCTGATAGAACAATTTTAAAGCTTATATGCGAGTAGTGCGGATGATAGTACTAACGGTTTTTTCGATTAGCATTTTTCCCCTAATACACTTTTGAAGGTCAAATTTTTCCATTGCCCCGTCCATAGTAAACGATGCGGAAGCTGCGTATTTGGCCGCTGGGACTGCTCACACATTTCCTAAGAGACTAAGAGCTCTTTTTAAACTCCCGATTACTGAGTACGAATAATAAGCAATTGGAACTGTGTGAATAATGTCAACTCGATCTAAACAAAATTTGCACTCGCACACAATCTCTTGATCTGAACTGACCAACTATTCGATCAACTGCAATTATAGATTTCAAAAGGTGACACAATGTACACATTTTACCATTTGGATGTAATAATAAACACAATTACAACTTGTATATAAAATATTGTAAAATATTCTTAATAATTAATTGAGTTGAAAGAAAAGAAACGTTAAAAAAAAAAAAAAGTGAAAAATGGAAAAACTTACCATATTTAATAAATAATAATATTTCGTAAAATTGTTATCATATAATCAGATTACAGTCAGATTTTTCATTATAAATCAAGTTTCAAACTTTAGCTTTAAAAAAAGAAAGAAAAAAATTTCATCTCTTTTGTGCTTCGGTACGACGCGTTCACTGGCTTTTCAATTCACGTTGATTTTACAAAAATTATAATACGTTATTTATCAATATTTATCAATTGATAAACAAATTACAAATAAGTTACGTTTTGTACAGTCAAAGTTGCGATGAATAATAGAAATTATAAAAAAACGAATTAATAATGAAAACTATTGCAATTGAAAAGGTTTTCAAGTCATCGGACATTGCGTAAATTGGTATCGTTATCTAAAGCTTCAAACGCGGTAGCTATACAAATAGGGAGAATGAAAAGGTGAGAAAGAGTTACAGTTATCGTTTATTACATGTTATTCAAGTACGCAATGAATATGTTTGTCACAGTCGTAAAGCACTCGATAATAATTTAGCAAGGAATACGTTTAAACGATATACAATGCGAGGGGCTGTCCACCAAAAAAATCCTACAATTTTTTTTTTTTTTGTTTATTCACAAAATAGCAGAATTTATTTTGTCTGTTTTTTTCCTATTGATATTAATTACATACATATTTAAATATGAATTATCATCGTTTCTTTATGACGAGGAGAAATCTAACATGAGGCAAATTGGGAAATATGGATGGATATGGAAACATAGGCAAAATATCAGGTCATCTAAGCAGCCTTCGCGGGATAACTATTTGTTTTTTAATTCTTTCCACTGGACCAAAATGGAACTTATGGATATGACCGAATAAGACTCTCCACGCAAGTCAAAATGTAAAGCAAAGTCCAAAGTTGGACATAATCATATCAAACGTAAATAGCTAAACTGAAAGTTGAAAGTCAGAGATTTGCATATTTGCATATATTGATTGGATAAACATTTACAATCAAAATTGTTAAGAAGAGTAATGTATTATATGAAACGAAATTAACAATCACACAAAGTTTTAGTATTAGATTTTAATTTATATAAATACATTTCTCTCGATGCGTTTGCAAATCTAAACGCTAACAATCGATTCGTTTCTCTTTCTGTCTTCCACCATAAAAATTAGTTTAAAAAAGAGTAAGAATTGGAAAAATTGCAATGCAGTGCACACCAAACGAACTAAAACGATAAGTTCTGTAAGCTATGCGGATATCATTGAAAATGTTTTCTGCATCGCCTTGAACGTGTTCCTAAAAAGTGTATTCACTACGAAAATCTTAAGGGGCGAGATATTTCATCCGCGCTAGCATTTCATCTGCATGGTTAGTGGTGGAAAATCCAAAGTGTGAATATTACACAAGCAGTTATTTTTGGCAACTAACCATGAGCGCAAAAGAGCAGCAACAAAAAATCTCTTCTCTATAAAAATAGTTGACTAAATGAGGGCAAAAACCTGGCAAGAAAACACAACTCCGATTTTAATATCGACGTCCGAGCATAGAGAACATCAGAGTTTGGCTCGATCCCTGGATTGGCTGGATAATTGAAATAATCCCCTCGCAAGCATGGCTACGTGGCAGGAAGTAATCGATACTTTCAATAATATAAACACTCGACTCCGATGCATGCAGCAAAATGTTAAATGAATGCTTTGAAACTTAGGGATACAATTCTACATCGTATGTTACAACTTGTAAATCGTAAATTGGGTAATATTTTTGAAATGAGGGAATGTTTCACTCGAACGCTTACAATCAATCAATATTTGCATTTTATTTTAACAGTCTAAATATAGATAAGAAAAAGATATGCAATGCTATCTCAAAGAAAATAAGAAAAATAATTACGCCTGCTCGTCTCCGCTTAATTTGACCCAAATATATACGTACGCGACGTTATCATTTCTAACCACTCCAAAGTAACTACATGTGTCGCTTCAAATCATTGAAGACTTAGAGGTTTAAAGTTATCTTTTTCAACCTCCAAGTAAAAAACGGGTCATTTGTATAAAATATTTTATTAAAAAAAAAAAAAAAAAAAAAAAAAAGAAAGTACTAAACAAATTACAAAAAATGAAATCGAGACAACTTGTATTACAAAGACACAAATGAATTGACTAAGACTTAGGAAATAATTTTATATATTGCCATTTATACAGTCGTGTAATGAGCCTTGCAGTGTACTGAAAATAGACATGAAGGAGAAATAAAATAATAATTTAATATTTTTGTTAAAAGTTTCTGGATAGAAATGAAGAAACAAACCAATAAACTCTGATACCGGATCATTATCACCCTCGCCACGCATTGTCCCAGTAATTTCCTCATTCTCCACCATCGGTAGAAATAGTAAAACGAATTCCGGTGAATAAGGATGGGTAATAGTTTCTAAAACTTCAGTCACGAAATAGCGTATAAGGGAAACATCGGTATCACCTTTGCCCCAGCATTGTTTAATATATTTGACAACTGGTACTACACAACCTCGCGTCAAAAGATTAACCATGCGATCCAACAGCATTTTTTTCATTTCCAATTGGACTAATATCTCTAACTCATCCTGCTTAGATTCAAATAAACGTATTAATAAACTTAAAATTTGTTGATGTAAGGTGGGATGGACTGCTGCCACTTCATCCAATATAGCCAAATGCGTCGGACAGCTATCGGTAGACAGCTTGAAATATGAAGGCTCGGTAACTGTATTTTCAATCCAACGTATTACTCCTACACCCACCACGGGATACCTATAAACAAATGTTTCATTAAAAATCGTTTACAACCACTTATACAACGTTTCTTACTTAATACAATTATATAGAGTTTGCAGTTCAGCTATCAGTTCTGTGGAGCCCTTATTTACGTTACATATAGCGTGTACCTTTTCAACGGCCTGCGTAGTATTTTTTAGCTCATCTTTATTTAAAACTCTTTCTGCTAAAGGCCGCTTTTTAGCAGGCGTATCCACCACAGAAGCAGCATATGCCAGCAAATAAATATATTTCGGCTTATGCTCTGGATTAATTTTTACACCAGCTTTAAAAAGAGAATCCACTAACAATTCCAAAAACTGTGGATTTCTAATTAAATCTATAGGAGGGGGGTCAGGACCTGAATAATTCCGATATAGCACAGTAATATCGGCCGGATTTAAAGTATTGCGGGAAAGCATCGAAGATAAAGCCTGACAAGCCTGCGGATAAGCAGCTGAGCCATTGAGGGCCATTGTTATTGGTGTGACATTCTGATTACTAGAAGAATCTTAAAGGTATAGTTATGTATATATATATATGTAACTCTTTTTTCTATACAAACTTTTGTAAAGCATATTTTGTAATCTCCTGTGCTAGCCGTTTCATATTGAAGCCACCTTTTTGTTCTTGACTGAGTACTTGTATCAAAACCTGAGAGTAAACATATGTATGCTGTCCATGACACACCATACGCGCGCATTCCTGTATAGCCCCCTGTATGTCTTCAGGATTACTCAGAAATTTTGCTATAGACGTTTTCAAAACTCTAGAAAATACTTCAATTTGTTGAGCAGCCGTTGATATTGATGTTATTTCACTTTGGAAGCCAGCGTCCGAAATTAATTTAATTGTAAAATTCAACATTAAACAATCAGGATATTCTTCAGCCAGACGATATATCAAAGAACGCCAAGTGGGATGGTCTATCATCTCCGTTAACCAATCAGGTGTTTCACCTTCCTCTGTGAATATAGTATCAGCTTTTTTCGGATCAAATGTTTTCAAAATCATATCCTTTAAATGATTTTCTACCATCGCTTGCACATCGGTCACCTTAACGCCAGCTAATATCAACCATTCAGCCAACAAGTTGGCCATTTGAGCTACTGCCTTATAGTTCTCCGATAACATCATAATGACTTCTTCTGGAGACCCGCCAGACTGGAAATAACGTTTTAACTGAGTAAATATGCCTGGTTCCATAATGTAATCAGGTGTAAGGAATTTCTCCAAGCATTCACGTATAGTTTCCTGAGGATTGTCTTCGGGCATTTCCTAACAATATTGAATTAGAACAAAATTGAAAGTTTACGAATCAAACTTACTTCATCTTCTCCTTCCGGTTTAGTGCGGTTTTGTTGCCAACCCGTTTCATCATATTCTGCAATTTCCATATTATTCATTTTGTGCGAATTAATCTACTTTTCATATAAAATTCTTAATAATAAACAATTTTAAGTCCAAGCGTTAAGAAATAACAAGTGAATTTTTTTTTAATTTGTTTGCTTTATTAGAACAAGAAGAAGCATGAAAAGGGTTGCTTCTTTATTTTACAGTTGCAACATGAAAGTTACTATAACAGGGATGTTTTAAAATAAATTATAGGTAATATTTTGCAATAAACCTATATTGGTAATTGGAACGAAATTTTGTAACTAAAGAACACAATAAGAAGTAATTACGTTTCTCGGGATAAAAATTCAACTTTTTCAAATTTTTATGAGGCGTTGTGAGAATTGTCAAATTTTATGCAGAAGAAGAAATAAAGAAAATTTATTTTGAATTTAGAAATTATTTATCTAATTTTTTATGTTATACGATTTAAAATTTTTGTCGATGCTCCATACCATTTTACGATGAATGAAGAACATGCAATAAAGGCGATTCATTTTCAATTTAAAATATATATATGGAACCAAAACCTTAAGCAATCCTTTTTCTTTGCTTAACTACACAAGTGAAATCCATCTCCATGTTCTTTTTTAAGCGCTTTCTTCTTCAATGGGGTTGATTTTTTCATTAAGCGTAGGAAAGGCAACACTGGCCGAAAGTCATAAAAAAGTTTTACAGAGTGGTTTGAATAAATTTCAAGCGGGTACTCTCTAATACTTTCGACGCTATCATTAATATTCTAACTAATTTTTTTATTAAAAATCCTTGAAGAAAAATTGGTTTAAATACAATAGTTGTGATTTAGGTTAAAAAAAAAAATTACATATATATGTATATAAAAAAAGTAGCTTTGTGGCAAATTTCCCATCCCTGAGTGGAGGATATGTTTTATCGTTTCAAGACACAAAAAGGAAGTGTACACCAATACTTTTGATCAAAGTAGTATTCGACCCGCGGAAAAGCACATATCGCGCAATGTATACATATTTTTGATCGATGTAAAAATCGGGCCACTTTTTCATATGATTTCATCTATTCATGGATGTACCGATTACTTGTTTTTTATCCATTCGTTCTGAATTCGTCATTCTCTTCATATATTAGTCTCTCTATGCCTGCTTATATCGAGAAGTAACCATTCCTCTCCTCTTTTTCCTTGTGTCCCTGATAACAGTTTGTTCATTCAAAAATATCGTCCTTTTCTCTGGATGTCTTCTTGTGCTATCACCCCACCTTTTGCGTCATATCGCTTAGTCGATCGTACCGTTATCCATCCTTTCATTTTTACACCAGTACCCACTGGTACTCTGGTAGTAGCATAATCTAACCATTGGTCCAAATATCAAGTTGTTTCGTCGTATGTCGCTATTGCTCTATGTTTTAAAGTCCTATGTTCTACAACAGCCACAATTGCTCCCATCAGCCATCATTAAGATTCAATTTATCCACTTACTTACCTTTGGCATATCTAAGTTTACATCTTTTCCTATAAGCGTATTAATAGAATGCAAAGATCCTAGTCTTTTCGCAGAAATTAAGCCCCAGATCAGCATCGATCAAACAAAGTTAGTTACACTTTTGTGCAAGTTTCGCTTGGAGTGGCTGTATATCGGTGTACTAAACACTTTCGAAACCAGTGATAAAAGGAAGTTAAGGAAAGTGCTTGTAATTCTCTTAAAAGTAGTAGTAGTTGTAAATGGCAGTCCGTTTAGGTTTAGAATTGAAAATATATTGATTTTATTTCGATGACATCGATCGAGAATATCGATGCTTTTTGTCATCTATGCTATGCTAGTTTATCGATGGCTTGCAATATTTTGGAAAGAAAAGAAGAAAGTGTCACTCATTCCATCCCAAATGTATGTGTCTTTCGAAATATATTTGAAAATAAATATAGCGAAATAAACCGATGCAGATAAACTGGGCAATTTTTTTTGGCCCGGCTTGATGAAAGAAAGCCAGAAGCTTTGTATCTCAATAGACTTTATTTTGGGTTTTTCTAAATATTGCTCTTTTCTGTTTTGTTTTGTTTTTGTTTTTGCTTGGTTTAACTAAACGTCTTACTTTTTGCGTATTACAATACAATACATCTCTTAACACTAAGCAAATACAAAATTTGGTATATATTACTGATTCTGAAATCAGTTTGTAAATTTTTGTTTTTTAAAACTGTACGGTTTAAGTAGTAGTGATAGTAATGGGCAGCATTGCTATCAGTCACTTCGTTTATAATAATACGAAATAAATTAGAAAACAAAAAAACTTAAAATATATATAAAAGTTATCATCGTTACTTAACAAACACACCCACTAGTTGTTTAATAGCAAGGATAACTTTAACAAGAAGGACACGTATTAACTTAAATTAATTAGACTTGACTAGATTTTCTTTACATAAATAATAAAGTACGTTCAAAAGTTTTTAACAACAAAAAAAAAAAAAAACAAAAAAATCCATCTCTTTCTTAAATTAGGTTTTTGTGTTGCATTTCGTTTTCGTTTCAAGCTATTTTCAAGGGTCGTCTTTGTTGCTTTTTCGTTTACGTTATGTACGTATATAAAAAAAGAAAAATGAAGAAAAAGAAAAAAGAAAAACAATACATTCGTGTTTTAATTGCTTTTTTTGGCATCTTTGCCTTCGCCATCTTTGATCTGACCACGACCTAAAATCTTGGCCAAGCTATCCCAAATGCCGCCAAAGAAAATAGCGCAAAATAGATTTTCGAAGGGCAAGAAAGGATCGTGGATACCCAATAGAATGGAAGACAATTTGAAGTAGACCAAGAAAATAACTATGCCGAAATACACTAAAGCATGCGGGGCAGACATCCAATCGGTTTTCTTGTCAAGAACAAAGATAATTGAAGCCAACAGGGAAGCTTTGGTGTAACTGAAAATTTTAAAAGTAAAAATAAACTTAATGGAATCAATCCTTTATGACAGTTCAATTCAATTTTATAACATACAAGGACGGTTGCATGAATTCCATGGCGGTAGGAGTCCAGGCACCCCGTATTAAACGTTCTAATAGCTTGGTAAAGCCAGCACCGTTGCCCTTTATAGTTCCAATAATAATCATTATTATCCAAGCGTTTGGATACAATTTCGCGGCATGTGTAACACCGTCGTATACTTTTTTGGCTCTGTAAATTTCTTTCATAGCACTGGCCACTAGTTTGACAGGTAAAAATTTACCAATTTTATAACCAATATCGAAAGGCGTATAGAAGACCATATACCTAAAGAAAGGTAAAGCATGTTCGAGTTGAAACTTATATTGCGTTGTTTAGTTCTTATCCGAATTTGTAACACTTACCATACCGCTGTGCCTACCAATAACTGGGGAGTATTTTTTAATGGTGCTAGGATGGGCTCACCGAGTAGAGCGTTTGCTACCATCGCTCCCGAAAATATAACCAGCATTGTCGACAACCAACAGGCCAGCGGATGTTTACGTGAAAATGCCTGCGCATTGGTACCCAAATCTTCTCGCACCGCGAGAGCGGCCAACAAACTGTGCGCTATATCAAAGTATGGAAACATTTTCAATTTGATGACCTGATTGGCCATATCCAAGAATGCTTCGGGATCCATGTTGATTCAGATGTTGGGTCCTTCGTTCGGTACTGAAATATAATAATAATTTTAATTCAATTTAAAACTTGAGAAAAAAACCTCTTGTTATTTAAAAGTGTCCACATTTCTAGACATCGCCCCAACGCCCGCCTATATTGTAAACAAGGAAACTGAAAACTATAAACTTTCGACTTTCGGCTTATTAAATATTAATGTGTTACAACGCTCCACTCTAGAGCCGCAATAACACGTAGAAATTTGTGCAGAAGACGCTATAAAACAAATATATATTTGTAATTAGAGCGAATAGTGAAATCGATATGAATTTACTTTAATATATTGAGTGAATATTTTCGCTTCCATTTTTAACAAGAAACAATACTATAGTGGATCCTGATCTATCACCATCAAAGGTCCTTTTACAATTACTCATATAAATACTTTTCAAAATAAGTGTCGTAAACTATATGTGAATTAGTTGAAGAAATGGTCCGATCAGAACCGTTTTCAGTAGCGTCAGTCGTTGAGCACAAACATGTCAGCGTACCGAATTTTATCAAAACGTCTCAAAAATTGCAGTCCGTTAATGTTAAGCGCCGACAGGCGGACCAGCGGAAGGACGGAGGGACAAGTTTAAATCGATTCAGGAAATGATTCTGAATCGATCAGAGGGTCTATCTCAAATCATGCATACATCCGCACAAACTTAACCTAATGGACGGTACAAAAAGCGTCACTTCTTAATTAAAGAGCCTTTGTTATTGTAAATTTATCGGAGTTGTCGAAAAGCTCTTAAAAAGATAATGTAAACGCATGATCAATTCACAATTATTATTCGCTTTACTGCTGTGCGAGGTTAAGCTTCACGAGGAATAGCAGGACTTTAAGGGGGAAAATCTCGGTAAGAAGATTTCTTAGCTAACTAATGGTAATATTAAAAAACTGATTTTAGGCGTGGCAAGATCTTAGATGATCCAAAAGAGTGGTTTTCCGAACACAATCGTAGTGCAGTAGCTGTTTTTCTCGAAGTGTGATAATGCGAACGGGGCTTTTCGAAATTGACAATAAAATAACTTCCCCAGTTATTATTTTTGTATCATCTGTTTCCTACGAAAGACAATTTTTTAAGAGCTGTTTAGGCTCATACCTCATTGATTGCGCCCCTTAACTACCCTGCCTTACGTATTAAGCGACGCAAGCCTTCATTTATATGGGAGTATCTGATCGTACCTGATCAACTATTGTCGACAACTGAAATTAAATTCAGAAAACTTTCAACATTAACTAGACATGTGTACAGCAAGCTTGCTCCTGGAATTTCAAACAACCACTCATTGATGATATTGATGCATAGCAAAAAACATAATAGAACAGCTGCATCAATAATCCACTTGATGTATTTAACCTATTTCTATATGTACTGTAGCGGTTCTTAAATAACGCTCTTACCTGACGAAATTTTATTTACGCAAACTAAGAAAGAACCAAATGAAAACATTATAATTGCGCAAGGCCGATCTTTAGATACCCTAAACCACTTCACCTAGTGCAGTTGTTCACTCGTTTTAGCAATAATTTAAAAAAATAAAATACAATTTGGCAAAGACACACTTTTCATGGACGTCCACATATTGGAGCATGCCCAAAACATCGCATGACGTGACCCAAATTTAGCAAATTTAATTTACTTTCTCAGTCTCCGTCAGAGAAAACTAAAAATTATACTTTCTCTCTATATAAGGGGTTGCTTTTCATCATAATCCCTATAAATGGTAGGATCTAGAAAACTTATTCAATCCAAATTTCCTACCACTAACTTTCGCAGTGAATTGCTACAATGGACCAATTTTCATCATAAAATATTAAAAACTAAACCTTTTTCTAAATAGCTTACTATTATTAAAAAAATCTTATATAGAGAGGAATCCAAGATATAGACTCGTGTGTTTCAAATTTGGTGCGCTTCATTTTGATAACAAATTTTCATCATAAACCATTAACAATTGGGCCGTTTTGCCATGTAAGGATTGACATTTTCTGAGAATCCATGTATGCATTGTTCCAAATTCGGTAAAATTGATTTCTTTTTCAATTTACTATTATGAACCAATTTTCACAGTAGTGCAGTATTGAAAATTAGACCTTCTTCCCATATAGAGGTTTCGTTTGCGAACGAACGGTTTTACAAGAAAGGCTTCACCAGCCGAACCAACTTTTTCTTACCGATTTAGAGAATTAAAAACTCTTGGGAATTTGTATATCCTTTTCAAGATCCTAAAATATGAAAGCAAGTGGGTTTTACAGGGTATTGTAACTCGTGATGGCAGACGTTGTAAAAACTGTAAAGTTAAACAAAAACGAAGTTTTATTGAAAGCTCGGTGAAATTTTGCTGTCCACGGCACAGAATGGAATACGGTGGATATTAAAAAATTCCAAGTCTATCCTAAATATCAACGCTGGATCCCAAAGAGAGCTTTTGCTCTCTGCACAAACTCGGCAGAAATTTCAATGAAATGCCTTAATTACGGTTTTTGTATAAATAATATCCCTTAAGCGGATTTTGTTCTTTTCAAGATATAGAACCAAACAAGAACCTGCTATTATTCTGCCTACAGAATACCTTTCCGTACAATTTTCTTTTAGAAAGTCTCTACAAAAAACAAATTTCAACCAGAGTTGTTAGTAATTATTGATCATATGCACAAATCCATTGCAAAAATCGTATATATTTTCAATCTACAAAAGTCTTGTTAAAACTTGAACTTGTTAAAGCAAATATCTCTTCTTCGTACATGGCGAATATAATTTACGGGACGCTAATTTCGCATACGCATATTTTGAATTCACTTTAATCTGCGGCAAAAGATCGATTTGTATTAGTGGAAAGAAATTGCGAGCGGCATCCGTCAGAGTTCCCCTACGAAATTGTGCAAAGATCTAATAATCCCCGCCGTATCTCATAGTTATTCGTATATTTACAATAATTTCTCTTCATTTATTTGCCATAACTCAAGTCAATTATTTAATAATCTCTAAGGATTATGAGCAAAAATAATAAAAAAATTAAACTGCCGCAGTTGGTTCTTATACCACTAATGGCATATGTGAATATGCACAATAGAATACATTTGCATGCCATAATTTTTTTTTTTTTTTTAATTTTACATGAAAAGCCGAAAAAAACTAGAAAAACTATAAGAAACAACGATGTTTTCCTATTACACAGCGAACGGAAGAAATGTTGAAGATATGTATGAGAGAAAAAAAAGCCCCGCACGGCATCTGAGCTCCAAAAATAACGTACACAACACACAACTAACAGCATTTGTTGAACATATTAAGAAAAAAAGGAACGGAACAACAGATTGTAGAGAAAAATCGAAAAGAACTCTTTAATATAATAAATAATAATAATTTTTTTATTGTCATTAGCATTAGCGTTTGTGAAACGAACTTTACAGTTTATAAAACTTTAGAAAAAAAATAAACTATGGTTTATCAAATTTTACATTGTTTTCCTTTTTTTACAATTTTTTTTTCTCTCTCTTTTTGTAACACCATGCACAGCGGTAAAGTATTGTTGGAGTCACTTTAAGGAAAAGTTAAAAATATTTTCCCAAAAAAAATTACTTGTTTTCTTATGCTCTCAGTCAAATATTATTAGAATATGTTAGCCAACCGCACCGCAGCAATAGCAGTTCTTGGGAAATCTCCGTGTGATGTAGAAAAAAAGCTTAAAATTAAACTAAATATAAAAAACAAAAAAAAAAAAAGTTGGCAACCGAATATTAGAATGCAGACGTTTCTAATGCGAGAGCAGACTTTACAACACAGAATGCCGCCCAGAAACCGTGAGACCGATGCGTTTTGAGAAATGGCCCGCAAAGAACTATTCCAACTTGTTTAAATTTAGACACAGCCAAGCGTAGACTATCAAAAGTATGCAGTTAGTTGGTAGTGTGTGCATGTGTATATGTCCGCGCTCGAATTTGTTTCTACGTAATAATAAAAAAAGCCAATTATTTCTCTCTCTCTCTCTCTCTCTCCCTCTTCTTTTTGGTCTTCCTAAGTGATGTACACAAAATTGCCTCTATTTCAAGATAGTAGTTCTAAATTTCCCCCAACTTGTCTGGCAACGAAGTCAATTGGTATACGCAAGTAAATCGCGTTTTTAATTTATATCGCATCACGTGTACAGATTTAGATATATAAAACATAGCGCGAAACTACATTCTATTTGTCAATTACATTAACTCCTATATAGTGAGAATTCCCGAAAATATACAGTGAAATATCGCTTTATGCGACTCATGGATCCAATAAATATATCTTTTTTTTTTAATGAAAGCGTAACAGATCTACGCGCATAAAATTATACATTATTATTATGTAAATGCATAATTTTCATGAAAGCCCTCATATTGGAGGATACTCGAACGTCAACGTCGTCTTAATTTAGCAAATTTAATGTACTTGTCAAAGATTTTATTGTTTTCCAGTACCTTTCGTTATAACAAGCCTCAAATAAGGCTATGTCGCCATTGAAGAGCTTCTATTTATGATGCGGTCAAAAAATTTATCTATGTGATCCAAATTTCCTATGCTTGCCTTACTAAGAATAAGTTTTCATTATAAAATACTTAAGATTATACCTTTTTGGCATATAAAGCTGTATTTTCCCTTAGAACCCTTATGCGAATCTACGTGGTACAAGTTCGGTAAGGTTAATTTTTATGTCACATTATTAATATAAACGAATTTTCATCAAGAAGTATTGAAAATTAAGATTTTTTTACCATGTAAAAACTAAGTTGGAAACGTTTCTAATCCAAAGCTTTTACAATAATTTAGAATGCCGAAATACTATTACTAAACGATTTTTGTCTCAAAATTGTAGAAATTATAATATTTTTCTTAGAACGACAGAAATGGTCCGATCCGAACCATTTCCAATAGCCTTTGTCCTTGGGCCAAAGCAAATCGATGTAATAAATTTTATCGAAATATCTCGCAAATTACATTCTCTAGGTTGAAAGCCGGAATGCTTAATGTACTGTACACCGCAATTAATGTCTCGCTCAGGTGTGCTCCTTAGCAATTCCTTTAGTACGAAAATATTTATATATATTCTAAAAAGAATTTAGACGTCATAAATAAAGAAATACCAAAAATTGTATAACTTTCCTTAATTGCAGTGGAAATCGTTATGTGCCCAAAATAAAAAACTCGTATGCAATTCAATTTACAATCAAATTCCATTTAGAATGTTTTTTCATTTGAAATGCTGATAATATGTCACATTGCCAATAATAAATGAATTAACCCTGTAAAATCAGAATAGTCAAAATAGACAACACGGACTTATATATATTCCGCTTCAACACAATGGTGCGTCATTCTTATTTTCGAAACGGGATGGAGGAAACTTTGCCGACTTTTAATGACACTTTGTGGGAATTGGCGCATCATACGATTATGCATGTCTATAGGTAAATAAAACAAAGTGAAAACAGACACAAGAAATAAAGACCATTTATTTTCAACTTAAAAATTATTTATCTAATTTATGTTTCTTTTATACTGATTTAAAAACTTTTTATATTATACAATTTAAAATGTTGGTTTAAATCCTATATCAATCTATAGGAAATGAAAAGCAGGTAACAAAGGCGATTTATTTTCAGTTTTAAATATATTTGTGAAAGGAAAGCATTTAAGCAATTCTTTCGCTTTGTTTTATTGCGCTAGTCAAATCCTCATCCATGCTCCTTTTTTTGAAATCAATTTTCTTCATCCTTTATTTTAATAATCAAACAAAAATTTAATCCGCTTTTACATTAATTTTCTAATCATTCATGTATTGTTTGCATTGATGGATTTTTTGCGCGAGCACAAGTTGCGTTATGTGTTGCTCATTAACTGTCAAAACAAAATTGATCGTATTTAAATATCGAGCTTCTGTCGCATTACGCGAGAACACAAGTTTTTTTTAAACTTTTAAGATTCGTGTGCGCTTAGTTGTTGACAAGCAAAACACAATGCACACACTCATTTGGTCTATAAAAACAAAATAAAACCATATGATTTTCTACGTTATGAAAAGCAACGAGAAAGACGCCAAAATTAAATAAAATTATAAATTGAACTACATAATAGAAACAATAAAAATAATAATAATTAGAAGTTAAGCCAGACTAAATAATTTGCAAAAAACATACGTGAAGAAAATTTTTTACTCTATCAACTTCAACAATGCTTGTATAAACAAACGCAGGCCATATAATTTCAGTTTAATCAAGCACGCAAACGTTGCGTTTTAAGGCTTTTCTGTTGCCGAAGTTTTTAATGTAATCATCCAATGCACTGCACAGTATTGTAGATTTTTGCTTTGGTTAAAAAAAGAGAGACCTGTTTCTTTTGTTTATTATAATATTGAAACTTTTTTTTTTGCAAACGATATCATGTTATGCTTACCAGGTTTAAAGTGCTCAGAATTTGTTAAGGAAAACTACGATTTATTTTCAAAGTATTAATTACTCTCTTCAGGCATATTTATCATAGTATTTTTTCTAAGCATAGTTTTAATAGTCTGTATAAGCTCACATGAAATTTCATTGTCGTGTTTATGCAACATTTGCTTTAACTCATCTTGAGCACCCATTTCATCAGCGTATATATCTTTCAGCGCATCATATTTTGCATTCTCCAATTTTAATGAAGCCAACATAAAAGAATTCTGCACTCAGTGTTATGACAAGTTTATTAAACTCCTTACGCATGTAAATCAATTTACTTACCTGGAGGAATTTTTGCTTTAATTCTTCCACTTTTTGTTCTTGTTTTTCTTCATCTCGTTCCGTGTTTTCTTTCATGTGATCCCAATCGCGCGGTAACAACACATATTCAGGTACCGAAAATAACTTACTATCAAAATCATTAATTTTGGATAAATGACTTTCCATAGACTTCAAAATACTTTTAATCACACAATCTTTTTCTTTAGCCAATAAATTGTTCCTCTCTTCCGAGTTTACCAAACGCTTTATAATATTATCCAATAATATATCCACACATTTCTCCACAAAACATCGTCCTAAACGAAAAGAAGTGTGGATTTATTATCACAGGAATAGCAAAAAGTGGCTACATACTTTCTAAAGAAATCTGATTTGGTGAAAATCCAAAATGTTCGAACGTGTATCCGCTTTCCATCGTACAATACAATACAAAAATTAATTATAATTGAAATCTTATAAAAAGTTACGAAATGCAAAATGTGTGCTCTTCGCGGTAAAATTAGAGTTGTCCCAACCATTGCAATATAATAGTGATTTTTCAGACAAACTTTGGGAAATACCTGTATGGCAATAATCAATGAAATTAATTCAAAACATGTAAAAACTTTAAAATCAACATTTCCAAATAATTTAAATTGCAATAACATTATAAATGTAAGTCCAAATTTTTTAGTTGCCCCTATTTTACTGTCAATACTTTTAAGATATTTCTGTTCGAACGTGTCTTTTTATTAATTTCATTTGTGTTGGCAGTTCTTCTATGACAAAATTAAAAAATAAATAAGCATTTTCGCGTGGTTTGTGTCTAATATCTCTGTGTAAAGGTTGGTTTGCGTCCAAAGCTTCCCATTACACGATGAAATACCTAGTTGTTTCACTGTTTTCAGGCAGTTGATCAGTTTTCAGAAAATGATAAAACCTGTCACAAGTAAAGTGGTGAGGAAAACAATTGCAAGCGTGAAATTCTTGAATATTTTGTGGATATTTCGTTTTGATTAGTTGACGTTTTGTTTACATTTTAGAGGGTTCGTTTTGATTGGTTGAATTTTTGTTTGAGATCATCGTTTTTCTTGTTTATTTGTCTATATTCTAAATGTCGCGTTTTGGAATTTTGTTGGTGCACTTGATTACTGCTTATATTCTAAGGAAGCATGTGCTCTTTCTCTCTCTCTCTCTCTCTCTCGCTAATTTTATTCTCTAGCCTTGCCTTTTTCCCCTATTGTGTTGGCTTACGCATGGATTATATTATTTGACTCTTTCCTATGTAGAAAATCGCTTCTTTGAAAAGTTTATTCATTTTCCAAATCATATGCCAATCATTGTCCAAATCGTGACCAATTCCATAGAAAGCTGAGTAGGTGAATTGCAATCGGGTACAACGGAAAAGATTGTGCATTTTTTTGTAGAAGCATCGAGTTGCCGCTTACCGGAATACAAGGAAGTGTTGGCTCACGTAAAGCTAGATCGTTACAAGTGTTACAATGTGAACTTTGGTAAAATATAAAATAAATTAATTCATGGAGATAATAATAGATAAAGGATAGTTTCGTAGAAAAGAAGTTATACATGATCTCACGAGAAATAGGAAGGAATGATGGACAGACGTTTCTTTGAAGTTTATTCTTAGCCTCTCATAGGCAAAATTACTTACTTATGTACATGTATATATTAAATATATGTATAAAATAGCAATACAATTTGCATATATATATTTTATTAAATGAATCATATATCCATATGTGTACAATCATTTAGAAGCGCACTTAAGGTTTTTTTAATAATTGGTTTCGTTTATTTACACAAATGTCATTTACCTCGCGGCGAATATTTTTCCCGGAGGGAGTTTTTGGTAGACTATCTAAAAAGTAAATGCCACCTCTTAGATGCTTAAAATGTGCCATCTTGCTGGCAACATAATCGTAAACGTCATCCTCTGTAAGTGTACTATTTGGTTTCTTAACTATGGCAGCAGCGGGTAAATGGCCGCAAGAGATATCGGGAATGCCACATACGCAAACCTCAACTACGTCCGGTATTGTGCTTATGATATTTTCAATTTCCGTTGGATAGAAATGAAAATTATTATACTTCACTATGTCCTTTTTACGGTCGAGTAGGTATACCCTACCGTTTTCGTCAACGTATCCGATATCGCCACTATGTATCCAACCCTCTGAATCGTATGTAGCAGCGGTTGCTTCAGGATTTTTATAATAACCATGCCAAGGAAACTTTGTGCGTATGTGCAGTTCACCCAGTCTCCCAGGACCCAAAGCCAGATTGTTATCGTCAACTATTTTCAATTCAATATTTGCAGCAACTTCGCCAACGTCATTTTCCGCTTTCATTTCGCCATAGGTGCAAGCTCCCGATGCTTCGCTCATCCCGTAACCGTTTATAAATAAGAGTTTTGGCGCGTAACGTTTTAATTTAACAACGAGAGAATACGAAACCATGCTTCCGCCACACAAATAAGTGCGCAAATTAGATAAATCAGTTTCTTGAAGTCTCGGTGAACCCAATGCTTGAGCTAATTGAGACGGCGGTGTGAACATGATAGTTGCTTTGTATCGTTCAATTATTTCGAAAAAACTCTCGGGACTATAAGCATTCTCCGATATGATCCTGGTGCCGCCAGCCGTTGTGACGCCAATAGCAACTACTATACCTGACAACCAATACAGTGTACTGAAGCAGATTATCCTATCATTTGGCTCTAATTTACTAAACAAAAGAAATAAAAAAGTTACTCATACTTTAATTCGATTGTTGGATATACCCACCACCTCGAACCATTAATAACGAACAGTAAAAGTAGTCAATTTAGGCCGTTTCACTTTTTTTGCTTTTTTTACACTCTACACACCTTGTGATACAAGTTTTGAAATGCCCACTTTTCATTATAACTACCAATTCCAAATCAATTTCTGAATCGATTAAAGTCTGTCTATCCGTCTGTCCCTCTTGTTGTCGTATCTTCATACTACACGTCGCAATTTTTGGAGATAGTTTAACGAAATTTGGTACACTACTACTACTACGTGTCTTTTTCCCCGGTGATGAGCGCTGTTGAAAATGGTTCAGATCCGCCGACTTTTCCGACCACTTCCCGCATGACAAATGAATCTAGTGATGAGTATAAATATAAATAGTAATCATGCTTACAAGATCATTCTGTTTAAAAGATTGACATGCGACAAACAGACGCCTTTTGGCAAACCCGTAGTGCCTGATGAATACAATATTACGGCCACTTCGTTGCCACCCATTGGCAATGTCGGTACACTGAAAAGTAACGACAAATGTTACGCCGTTAAGATCATATTTAGCTGGAATTGCTATTGCTACTATTTTAATTACTTGAATTTTTCTTCTTCACCAACGCAATTAAGAAATTCATTTATATTTGGAACACCTTCAATATGGTCCTTGACCGTGTAAATGGCTTTGGTAAGATTGCACTCCTCAAAGATTTCCTTTATCACGGGATATATTACGCCGTCGCAGAACATGATTTTCGGCTTCGTAATTAAAAAAGCATGTCTAAGACCGTCCCTATCGAAACTGATATCCATCGTATTGATGATCAAGCCAGTCGCCCATGCTCCAAAAACTAAAGGAGCTATAAAATCGCTATTAACCGCACAAACGCCAACGATATCTCTCTGCTTAAAATTTAATTTCTGGAAATGCTGTGCAACACGTATCGTTAAACTAGCGATTTCACCATTCGTATACGTTTTTCCGCTCGGGTGACATATCTAGGCGAATAAGAAAACGCATTCATTATACAAATATTTCATTAAATCTTATCCATCCATATGATTCACCTGCGTTATGTGATTGGGATCTTTCATGAGCGCTTCCAATAGTGCCGATCCAAGCGAAGAATTTGGACCATACAATAAAGGCGCGTCTAGACCACGCCAAATTTTCTCCTTATCATTGTAAGTACTTTTCGTTGAAATCATTGCTTTCCTCCTTTCCGTAGACGACTATTTAGCTGTTGATCTAGGAAACTAAAAAACTCGTTTGTCTAAATGGTATTGAATAGACAAGCGCCGCTTCTCAATATATTCAAAACTTCTGCTTAAATAGCTACTTCTGCTATACAATATCTCCTCATGTTTATAGAGATTAAATGCATTATAAGTAAATAGCAACGCCATAGCGATTATCTTGAGCAGCGATTTTATCAAATAAAACTTGCTATCAAAGTGGCATTGCATATATATGTAGGCATTTGGAAGCTGCTTTTATTTGTATCATTTCATTTATTTACTTATGCATACATACACATGTATATATATTTTATTCTCCATTCTCTTGTAAAAATTTCCATTGTCATCATTGGTACGAGGGCCACACAACAATCGCTGCGTTAGGAATATCAGGGAACAGCGTATATATATATATATATATATATATATAAATATATACTATAAGTGTCCGCGTGTGTGCTTGTGCGCATGATATTTTTTCCCATTGCCTTGAATTTCTTCGTTTCGATAACCTTTCGCAGAAACCTACGCGAATAATTGAAATTTTCCCACATAGCGAAAGAGAGCGTATCTCAGAAAATACAGTCTCATTGTCCTAACAAATTAGGTGCAATCAGCAGAGGTGGATGCAATGGCAGACCGTAGAGCAAGTATCAAGCAAAAGATTCGATTCGACTTTGATTTTTAGCTCAGGCCAAATGTTGTGAATTTAAATTACTTTACGTGTACCTTAAATAACTTGATAGATAAAAATTCAATTTCTCGCTAAAAACTATCCTTGGCGTTAGCAGTCATTTCACACTCTTCGCACTGCCGCAACGAGAACCAGAAAGCAATCTCTCTCTTATTTCAAAAACGTTTATTTACTTATTTATTTCCTTACCATGGTGTGATGAGATATGATTTAAAAAGGTGTCGGGTAACTAGATAACTGTTAAGTAACTAAAGAAATTGAGGCAGCAATATAAATACAGTTAAGGTGTCAAGAGTCTCTTGTGTTCGGAGAGAAAGGCGAGTTTTGGGAATCATGTCTGCTATAGAATAGTCTCGCGTCCTCTCAAGAGGTTCGTTTGTTGATAAAGGACATTCGGAAGAAAAGTATCGTTCATAATAATTATAATAAGAGAACTAAGAGAATGCATTTGGGTATGGTGAAGAGATTATTGTTATTGTAGTCTGACCCGTTAAGAGACGGGTTGACTGATTCCAGAGATAGCGGCTTTGATGGCCCTATACGGTGAATGGATCGCCTGACTGGAAGAGAGGGCGAATGAGATCTCTTATCACCATCAATCCCAATATGGATTGGGAATACAAAGACTCCTGACATTAGCTTAGCATCGTGGAGATAATACATGTTCAAAAATACCCTTGCCATTTTATCGGTCAGACTTAAGTACATTTTTAAGCTCCAAAATATTTGGATCGAAAGCGTTGATCACAAGAAAACGGGTTCACTTTTGACATATGAAAAATTCAGTGATGGACTAATTCCACGAAACGTTGCCTTAGGACCATAAGATTTCGTGATGCGACAAGTGTAACGACTTTTTTCCTTGATACTATTTAAAAAGCAAAACCGAAGCCAATCTTTCGCGTATACTTCTTTCAAAAACAAATATTTATAACCAATTTCTCACCCGCGAGGAAAAACAATCTTTCACAAAATGAAAAAAGTGAAAGATATTTTAAATATATAATAGAAAAAAGCGTTTACATCATGTATTGTTCCAAAGATGCAATGCTTGCAATGCATTAGCTTGCGCTTCATTATTGCAAAAAAAGTATTAATTTGAAAGCTTGCACGGTAATCATCCGGCTGAAAGTCAGTTTTCGCTTTTGTATTCAGCCGCTTTTGCTAAATATCTGAACATTAAAAGCGAAAGAAAAACTTCTCATGTACGATTAGCCCGTCTGATTATTTGCTTTCCATAAACAAATAAAAAGCGAGACAATTTTTTGAGAAATCATCTTTTATAGTAGGCACGTACAATAAAATTTTAGTTAATAGTTGCTGTATGATAGAAGTGTGTTTGTCGTTTAATTATCTGCTTTCACGTAAGTTTCAATTGCATTCTAACTTAAGCAACGGAATGATTTTCTCGATTACGTCAAATAAAGGAACGTTTGTTGAAAAAGTGTTAATAATAATGGGTTAAAACGTACCCGCGTTCCAATTTGATTTCATGTTTTTACTATTTATTTTCTTTTGTCAAAGTATTACGATGTGATGCCGATCCGTTTAATGACTGCAGATACTCAACCAGATGATCTATATTTTACGTTAATACCTTGCGCTAATGAACAGAAACGTTGTAAATTTAGGCTAGCGATAATTTGTTACAAACGAAATCAGGAATATGAAAAAAGGGAAAGAAGAAAAACTTCTTATAAAAATCAAACGATTAAAAATCCAATAGAGCTTTGTATGGTGTTGCCATGCGATGAAAACCAATAAACTTTTTTTATACCAAAGGTATTAACTGAAATGATAATAAGAACTTGTGATCGAAAACATTTTTATAATTTGAATTTGAATAATAAATTAATGTTTGATGTATCGGATTACAATTTTGCCTTACAAGTAGATTAATACACTTTTCTATTAAAATTTTCTTTTATCTCGACTAAAAATGTTGACACATGTTTATTTAAATCTTAGCCCTTAGGTCCTCACGCAATAATGCGTTATTCCATTTTTCAGTTTAATGTATTCTTAGTAATAAACATAGTGAGAAGTAGCGTTACCATATTATTTGAAACACAAAATATAAGCAAATCGATGTAAGTATAAATAAAAACGTATGGTTTGAGAAGTAAAATTAAAGAATTTAACGTAGACGTAAACAAGTCGAAGCCGAAGCCACCACATCATCATCACCATCACATATATATATTTTCGACGAGTGACCATATTTAGCCCTTTATTCGGCTATCAACCCTTTTCAGAACTATTAAAAATTCAGATCGATAGCTTAGTGCCATCGATCAGGTCATGCAATGGATAGTTATTAGAAACTTACTATAATCCATTTAGGGCCCGCAACCTACTAAGCGGCTTGCTAACCCCCTAACAGTTCCCCCCTTTTGAAATTGTTACCCTTGTTGTTGTTGAGCCGTAGAGTATTTTTGTCAATAAGCTAGGCTTAACGTGGTTTTAAAATTTTGCAAAAATAGTTATCAAAACTCTGATCATCTTGTTTTGAAAAATTTAAGAGAAACCCCTTACTAATATTCAGCAATTGAAAACTGGCAACGGATAGGAGAAATTCGGTCTGAAATGAATCCATTTTTCAATTACTTTCCGTTTAAAATTGCATAAGCTAGGCCATGAGCAAAGCGTTTCCATTTATAACCATTAAATGAAACGTTCGCTTCAATTTATAAAATATCACGGATATATAATTTAATACTTGCATGTTTTTTATATACTACACACACACATAATATATATATATATATACGTAAATGTATTCAAAATACTTATTATGGTCATTTATTATTATTTGATGTAAAACTTTTGCCATTTAGTAATCTAAATTGCCTTGAGCGCCTGTTATAATAGCATCGATCCATATTCTGGCAGCAGCGCCGGAAGCTGCTTGTAGGTGGTAACTTCGTTTTTTAGTCTTAACAATAAATGTACAATGAGGTCGACCACTCTTTGACGCGTTAAGATGATCTAAGTAAACTTCATCGATAGTCTGGAAAAGAGAAAAGAACAATGCGCGATTAAATATTTATAAATATATATTTATAATTCATTTCCATCCAATGTCATATGATGGATGTGCAGATGATGGTAGAGTATTTTACCGAAAAATATGCTCCTCCTCTCGGCTTACGCTCAGATTTATCGGCGTAATATATGAAAGCATTGCTCTGACGATCTAATACAAACCAACGCCTAGACCAGCCATGAAAAGTGGCTCCCAATTTATGAAGATATCTGTAATGTTTTACAAAAAACGAAATATGTTTAAAGGTTTATGGGCTTAAGAGCTTAAGCGCTAATGAAGACTTACCCGCGACAACTGTAAGAATCGATAAATACATGGGGACACAGGGATATCTGATGACCGGCTGATTCTATATGCTGCCTTAAGTTTAATTCTGCCGAAAAAATGGGCAGGTATCGTGTTAAAGGTCTTTGATGTTTAGGTAAAATCCGTTTACGTCCACTGCTGTTATCATTATTCATACTTGTGCTTCTTTCTTCGGAGTTCAAACTTACCGAGCACTTTTCATCACCATCTATAGCACGGCAATTAGCTAACGGCGAAAGTTCATTGCTCGATTTACAGGTGGCTTGCTCGGATAACATTTCATAGCTTAATTCCGAATTAGCTTCTGAAAGTGGACGTGATTTATTTTGATTGGACTTCTCACGATTATTGCCTTCGTACTCTGGATGCGAATGCCGTTGCTATAGAATTATGATATGAAAAGAACAATAATTTTCGATTTTATGTTAATTCTTCATTTAAGTGATCTTTTAAATTATCTAAAACTACTAATCGTATAAATCTTGGGTATTGCACGCTCTTCTCGCTTGCTATGCCTAAGACAGACACAAGCAGCCAAGGTCGAGTAAACTCAGTCATTTGCTTTTCGTATTTATAAAAATTCCAATTTTACTTATCTATTGATAATGAATTATTTGATGAACGATTACATAAACGCTTTTGTACAATTATAAGCAGCAACAACAACAACAACAACAACAACAACAATGAAATATAACTATTTTACCTGTTGAGAGAGAGAACAGCTTTCACTTTTATTTATTGTGACAACATATTTCTCAGCCTCTATGATATTCTCCTTATTTTGGCTGTCGAGTCCACACATCGCTGAATGTTCCGTAGCGTTTGAAAATTCGTTTGAATTATTGGCGTCACTAAAAGCAAGCATAAAAACCCATATCAAATAACAATTGTTCGCATTTTTCTAACTGATTTAATTCATTTGCATATATAAACTGAAAAACACAACAACAAATTATAAAAACAAGAAACAAAAAAAAAAAAAAGACAAGTTGACAATAGCAGCAGAATGCAACAAAAATCGTACGCTTTACATGAAATAAATAGAATCAATAATAAAATTAATGATAAATGAACCCAATAATGATGAATAAAAACGAAAACAAAATATGCTTATATTGCCTTTACTGATAACAGACCCTGCTCATGATTTTACTCACTAATACCATCAGCTGAATACACGCACACCTAGTTAGGATCTAACTGATTGTATATATGTGACTTTGATCTGAAAACTGTCATACATATAGAGAATACTTTATTCACGTATCCATCACTAAACGAAGGAGGAACGGGCTATAGGGCTATAATTCAAATTGCAATCTTCGGGAAGTTACTCAGGAACAAAACTAGGGTTAAAGTCCCAAAAATCGAAATAGAACGGCAATGAGACTTACACTTAAGTTTTTAAAGCGTTGATGATGCGATTTGCCAAAACGCGAAGTAAGCTTTCTACCTTCGTTTTAAAATGTTTATGATGATCTCAACTTTAAAACAATCAAAATTTCCATTTATCGTAACGATTACTTATCAAGTATTTATCCGTCAGTACATTTGTAAGTATTATATTTTTCTTTTTTACACGATCATTTTTTTACTCTTTTTTTTTTAGTTTTTTTTTGTTTTAGAATCGTAGATAGATCAGTCTGAATGTGGTTCTCATATTCTAAGTTCCGGATAACACGAAACAGGTCGGAAAATGTTGTTTGTCTTCAAATGACTCCTAGATTGAAGCCAGCACCTTAAACCAATACACTCTAAGAGTAAAATTTACTTTTTAAATCGGAACGTGTAGGTTGAGTAACTTTCTTAGAGGCTGTAATCTACAGTTTTTTTTATCTATTGTTAGCTTTCTGATAAATTTACGCTAATTTTTTTCACTTTGGTTCGGGGCGTATGCACTATGAAATGTACGTTGCGGATAACGCCCATTTCGAAATTCAACCTGTTAACGACAACTAAACACCACACACATGCCGAGTTTTGTGTGTCAAGCTTTCCATTTCACTTTTTACAGTTTACAGAGAGATGTGACAATAGAAGGAAGATAGACAGACAAGGTCGCAGGCGTAGGGACAGGCATGATCAATGGTACTGTCTTGACTGAGAAACAATATAAACGCTCTCATTAGGTCTCCGAAAAATTCTATGCGTTACGAAAGGGAAGGCAAATCGGGTATACCTCACTACTTCGGTAGGGGATATAAAAAAAAAAAAAAAAAAAAAAATGTTATTCACGCATTTGTTAAGCTCGTATTTGGAATTTAAGTTGTTGGAATTCATCTATAAATGTGAACATGGCATAAGTTTGTTAATACGCTTTCACTCTTCGAACTCAATTCTTGTCCCTTAAGGAATTTTCTTAAACGAATGGACAGACATTATCCTACAGCGAATTATACATTTCTCTTAAGCATTGGTCAAGGTATACATACATGTTCTTAGTAAAATGGCACCAGTTATTACTAAATTACCTTCAGGTGCACAATCGTGTGTATCTGTATGTATGTATATGTAGTGGGTAGGTTAATGCAATGATATATTTTAACTAAACTCGTATGTGCTATTTTATATGCAAGCTGGGTACTTGAACTCGATGTGCATGACTCTCGAGGCAAAAATCGTTCACCCGTCTCCCTTTAACTTTAATGCATTCATGCACTTAGCGTGTTTATCTTTGTTGCAAAGTATGCGTTTCTGTTATTCATCACATCAGTGAAAAGCGATATATATATATATATATATATATATATATTGTTTGCGGAGATATATACAACATGCAAAAGAACGTGAACCGACCGATTTTTGTCTGTCCATCCGTCTAAACTTCTTATATTCTTGCGTTCAAGCAGTGGTCACAATTTTTGAGATATTTCGAGGCAATTTGGTATATCGACATGTTTTGGCTCCAACACGAATGGAACGGGCCGTTTTAATGTTTTTTTTTTGCCAATTTTAATGCTTTTTTTTTTTTCTTTGATATTGGTATTAAGTGGATTAAGCCAATAAGAAGCGTGTCCTATATGTCCAGACAAAACCGTTTCAGAGGGCTATTTAAATCAAATCAGATCTAGGATTTTTATTTTATAGAAAATCCAATTAGTTTCGTCACGGCCAATATCTTTAATTTGATCGTTCAAGTTATTCCAGTGGAAGTATATTTGACAGACAAAATTGTATCAATGAATTAAGTTCTTTGTGCCTGAAAATCGACTTAATTCATATCAAGCAAAGCCAAAGTGTCCCGGGACCCATGCACAGGTGACAGCCCCCAATTTGAGATTCATATATCATCTCGTGTGTTTCAAATACATATTGATTATCCACATCTCTTTTATTTATTAAAAAAGCAGACAGTATATCCGACGACAAGGAATGTAGCAAAAGTGCCAGAAAGTTCTTCCAACCCGCTACTGCACTGATTATTGAGAGAACGTTGAGTTTATTATGCAGAACTTTGAAATGAATTATCAAAATATGGAAGAAAATCAATGAAATTTCAAACACAAAGCAGTTTATCAAAATTGCAGGTATGCGTCAAAACAAGGCATTGTTTAATGTTAAGGATATTTTCGACCGCTACTGTCGCGAGATCGTGTTATATTAGCTCAATCTTAGATTTGATCAAATTTTGAAGCTAAAAATCTCTTCGGAAACATCTATCGACGATCAAGGTTCGCTTTTGTTTTTTTTTCTTTTTATATGGCTAGTCACGCAGGGGATGTTTTTTGTACGCCGCAACGTAGAGTTATGATTAGGAAGGATGATAAGTAGAGGAAAGGAAACGTCCGACATAAAAATGGAAACATCTATGAGCTTGTGATACATTTTTGCTTTTCATTGAATTTTTTTTTCTTTGTAATCCAATGGAAGGCAACATTCGTTGCGGCACAGATCGCTTAACCTGATATAAATACTTTCTTCAAATGATTGACATAGATGCGAGCGAAAAATCGTTTGCAAGTAAGATCCATTAAAATTTCGCTTATATGTATATCTTCTTGAGCTCGCTGGTTTGTTTCTGCATTTTTAAGTGCCCAGAGGACTATTGTTTACGTCTTGGTAACTTATAATTTGCTTTTAAAAGCATTGGCATTCAATTTTATTTTTATTTTTATTTTTTTTTTTTTATTTATTTATTTATTTTTTTTTTTGTATATATTCTCTTCTCGTGTTACGGGTGCAATATTTAATTTGCTTGAAGATCAGATACGAAAGGGAAAGTGCATCCGACAGTGGTCGAGGTTTATTTGATTTTCTCTAATTAGAAATAGGATAACTAACGAAAACTAAGAATAAAAGTGCCACCACGATTTACTACCACACACTTACTCGGAATACGAGAGGTTTGCTATATACTGAGCGCAAGCTTCATCATGAATCTTTTGCTTTAAGTCATTCATTTTTTGTCTTTCGTGTTCAATAACATAGTGACCTTGATTAAAAAAAAAAGAAAGAAAAAAGAAAATACAAATAATAAAAAATAAACAGAAAATACAACACTAAAAATGAATACATATATGAAAGAGTCTTCCATTTATATAATAATACTACCTTGTTGGGTCAAAAGCAATTGACGGTTGCGTTCGATTTCTTTAATTGAATCGAATATTTTTGTATTGGCACCTGTTGCGGAAATGGAAGTGTCTGAAGTTAGTTTAGATATGCGATCAATATCATCTTGGGAAGGTACTTTCTTGTTTAGCGGATTCACTTCAAAGATTTCACAGTCAAGGGTAAGGTTACAGGCTACTTCAACATTTCCACATTTGGCCTTATCCGAGCCTTCAATCGAGCTCACTTTAATAATATCCGCATCAAAATTTGTGGCAACAGAGGTTGTGACGTATGGTGATTCAATGTTATCGTTAAAAAATATATTTTCATTAATACTTTTGGACATGACATCGGTATTGTTATGCTTGGTGCATAGCAGTTCTGTAGAATCAAATAAGGATTGCGACATAACCGAGGTCGTTTCAATTCCATTATTTTCTTCCTTATTTATAGTTTCAGCATTCTCCACTTCCGACGATACGGAATAAGAAGAGGGCGATGGCGAGTTCTTTTCCGGTCGTACAGATGCATTATTAAAATTATTTTCCAAAGTTTTTAAATGATCTTGGCCGTTCTTAAGTTGCTTCAAAACCGTTAACAGTTGATTATTTAGAAAAGACGATTCCTTTGTTGTGCTTTCATAATTATTAACGAGCTGTCGTTCTATGTGTTGCAATTCTATGCGTTTTTCTTCAATCTTTAGAATAAGAGCTTTTTCCTCCGCATGCAACTCTTCACGATACGCGTGCCATTCCGATTCGCCCTCTAAATACTGAAACTCTAAATCCTCAAAAGTCTTGCGATCATTTTCCAAGGAATCGCTTAATTTGATAAGTTCTTCTTTAAGGCAAACATCCTTGGGCTTCTGCTGCAGCATTTCCTTTAACCTGCATTTTTAAATAATATAAATTAATCACATATATATGAAATGTTTATTCCTCTCATCTAATATGGACAAGAAAATATATATATATATATATATGTACCTCTTCATTTGATCTTGTTTCATTTCAATGGATTGTTTAAGCTTGGCTTGCTTGTTTTCATCCATAACTCGTGTAGCATTCCGCTGAGCTTCTAAACGATGGACCTTGTTCTGCAAAGTCTGTAATTCTTCTTGCAATTTATTTTTAAATTTTTCGGTCAACTGAAGTTTGACAGCAGGCACTAGTGACGATTCTATACTTATCTGAAAATAATTAAGCCGTATTAGGTGTGCGCTTAGGCTTCGTGCCTCTGCAGCTATACTCACCTCTTGTAGCGTTTCCTTTTCCTGTTTCTGTAGTTCAGAAATTTGCGATTTCAAAATTTGCATACGATTTAATAAATCGGTCTGGAGAGATTTCATCTCATTTATATCAGAATTATTAGGTAAATCGTTTCTCAATTCATCGGAAATGTGGTTAGTGTCGGCAACGCTGAACTGACCTTTACGTAGAGTGGTTCGAGGTGCTGGTGCCGGCTTTTTGTTTGGCTTTGGCGAATTTGGAGCCTGAATCTTTAAATTTAATGTCAGATTGTTAATGTTTCTGTTGCTTTTCCCAATAATTGAAGGTTTTGAGGAAATTGCTTGGGGTTGACAACGACTGCTCTCCTCAATCGCTTGAATTTCAAGATTAAATTTCTCTTCAAAATTTTTGATTAACTGATCGTATTCAGTGTTATCGGCTTGTTTAATTATATTATTTGAAATATTGTCCTTTTTTGGAGACATGCATGTGGTGCGTATTTTAGTGCGCGGACTTTGAGGCAAAGATTTTGCGACCACCACATTTTCATAGCCAGACTTGGGGGAAAGAATCGATTGATTTATTGCCTCTATACGATTTTGTCCAATAATGCGTATATTTTCGTAGCCATTGTTTGTGTTCATTATATTAGTGACACAATGTGACCGTTCCAGATTGCCATCCTCGGAAAGACTTCTATTACTTTCGGATAGAGACTGCTGCAATTGACCGCCGGAAAAATCATAATAAAAAGGCGATTTTTTATCTCTTGGCAATGATCCGTTCGTTTTGATGCGATTCTGGACAATTGGCGATGAAGTCAGACTGCTGTTACAGCTTTGATTTTGACGATCAGCATATTCGGTGCATATTTTAAGCATATCTTCTAAACGTTCTTGCTCGTTCGAACCTGATTGTGTGTCCTGAACATTTGTCGTACTTGACGAGCTATTGTTCATTTCTGAGTTAATGCAATTCATGGGAAAAATTTGAAAGCCGCCGTATGCGCCCGGTTTGGGATATCGTTCATAAGCGTTGACAGCGTTACGATGTGATGGCGATGCGGAAGATATATTGTTTACTTTAGTTAAAAACTCTGTACCCGTTGGTTGAGACATTGCGACATTGTTGGTGGGAATGTTAACAAGCTTGTTCTCACTAAGCTGAACAGTTGTGTTTAATTTACAATTCTGGACTTGATTATTAAGTAAAGTGTTGCAGATGTTCTTTTCATTGCGATGATTTTCGATCAAGTTTTTTGCAAAACTTTTGTATTTTTTGCCCAAAACATCTTTGGCCGGCATATTTACAGTAACAAGATCAGAGGTAAACACCTTCGGGCAGTGAAGCTCATTAATCTCGGCGGGAGCCAAGTTATTATAAACTTTATGATTATAAGCATTCGCTTTAAACTTTGGTTCTTCTTTTCTATCATTTGTACCGCCGGTAACGATGCCATGTGTACACTGATCTCTCTGAAATCCCTCCATTTCACTCGAAGTATCATCATTACGAATAATACTGTTTAATTTATGTGAAAAATCATCTTTCGATTCCTTATTAGCAATAATTTGCGGTATGACGGATATGTCTTCTTGTGATTCTATTACGGAGCGCATTAATTGAGCCTCGGCAGGATTGTTAAATCGTAAATAGTATGAATTACCAATGGTTATCATCGCGCCTTGGGTTAAATTGGTATTTTGGACAATTTTCTGTCCATCGATGAGGACACGAGCATTTTGTTCCGGCTGCATAGTAACCCGATTATCTCGGCTACGACTGATTGTACAATGAAGCGATCGCACACCGGGACCATTGAGCGATATGCAGCAACCAGTGGACGAGCCAACTGTCGTTTCGCCTTAAAATTCAAATAAAATCAAATATTTTATTATTATTAATATTATTATTATTAGCATTAATTTAGCCAAAGAAATAAATTCCATGACTAATGTCTTAAAGCACTAGCATTTAAGACTAACAGCTTTATTAAGAAATCTACCGCACCTGAGATTCGAACCTACGACCATTAAACCATTGTTAGTCGATATCATTTCACTCAGGTCACTCAAGCGGTTAATTAAAAATTATTATTATTATTATTATTATTATTATTATTATTATAATTTTAGACTAATAAAATAAATTCTTAGACAAAAAAAAAAAATACATTGAGCACCAGCAACACAGGCTATCGGCTCTAATTTATAAAAGTACATTAAATATTGAGCCTAGCAGTGTTGATAAAGTAATATATTGTATTGATATTCTGTTCTGTAGCTGATTGTAAAATGTCCATAGGGTTAATCGTTCCAAATGCAATACTACTAGTCAAGGTAAAGTTAAGGCTGCCACGGAGAATGTGCTTTATAGTGAGAATTTGTTCACATTTGCAGATTGGGGAGGAAGACTTTTTTCAGATTCATTGGTGAGTTGCATTTGTTTGACCAAAGCGAATTCTCGAAAATGTTCGGATCTTGATTTTCTCAACATTTGTTGGATATAAAGGTGAAGTTCATTGAGGGTTAATAAGACAGTAATGCTGATGATGATGGTATTGTAGATTTCCTGTAAATTTCTCTTTAACATTTCTTCCAATTATTCGATGACATCATCCATAATTAGAGGTGCAGAAGCAGCATACTTCGCCGCTCGATCAGCCCGCTCATTTTCGAATAAACCGATATGACTAGGTACCCATAACAATTTAATTTTTTCGCCGGGTGTTGAAATTAAAAATTAGATTCGAATATTCATTCAAAAGACATGTAAGAAAGTTATAGTTGGCTGGGTCCGAATCTCGCAACCCATCCATCACTTTATTTATTGTTTTAAAGAAAAATAGTGAATGAGATACAATTTATTTTCAACCTTTTAGTTCACTAAAAGATATTGTCAAAAAAATATTTAATCTACCGCGTCGTGAGGTCCACCATAAATAGCGTAATATTAACATATTTAGCTTGCTGCCTTCTACTCTCCGAATCTTTTTATTTTATAAACATATCGGTGGTATTACTCTAAGAGAAGATTAATCCCCAACACCGTGGTGTCCATCATATTTATTTTCCAATTAACGCATTTTTAGTTCGAGGATATATCTTCATTTAAGGAATGTATAAAATAATTTTAAACATTCTGTCTTGTTTACCTTGTGATAATAACCTCAAAAAGGTGAGAAAATTACACTTCCACTGCCAGTAACTTTGTACGGGCATGGCCCATTTTTTTTTTAATTTTTTCAAATGTCAGCATTCTATGAGCAATGCGCAGAAACCCATAAATTTTTGCTTAAAGAAATGGAGTTGCGTTCAGATTACGCTTTAGTGGAGGCGTACGCTCTCACCAATTTGACCCATTCTCGATAGCAACCTGCCTGCAGAAACTTGTAATATTTTTAACAAATTTGATGCCGGCATCTTCATTTTTGCGACCAGGAGTGTGTCGACAACGCACTCCATACAGGCATACAGACGGACAGATAAGGTTTCATAGATCCAGAATATCAAGCTAACCAGGATAGGCTGAAACATAGGCTGAAACTTCCTTTTGGTTGTTGCGAACATTATGACGAAATGAGTATGCCCCAATCGTTGGGTAGTGGATATAACTAACATTATTCGTGGCAGCTAATTCTCTCATCTGTCGCTCTCTCTCTCTCTCTCTCTCTCTTTCTTGTAAAATTGTAAAATATGATACAAAATAAACAATGAGCCAATTGTTAACTAACCCGTTTACATACAACAAGTTTACAATATTAAGTACAGGTATAATTCATTCATTGGGTAAAAATTGCATCGAAATCGCATTTTAAAGGCAGAATATTCAAAATTATGCGTCTCTTCACTGTAGTTGACAAAATGCTGATATACACCCATTGAAGATTTGATTTATTAGACGTCATCAATCAATTTTAACTGATTAACTGGAGAGCAAGATCATTTTGCAACGAAATTTCGTTACCTCCTAAAAGACTACTAGTACTTAAATGCGTTTTTGCCTTGTCCGCATATAAAACAAACGCCTTAACTACATACTTCTTTTTTTCTTTTATGTTCAAACTAGATTTGCGCGACAGACATAAAATCAATCTCTATAAACACTTTCTTAAAATATTCAAATCGATATAAGCTTTCGCTTAACGACGTTCTACTCTTCACATCCTGGACGAATGTGGAAAGTGAGAAAATAATTCCAATTGACATCTTTTTCGAAATTGGAATATAGAGGCAAGGCATGCACGTCTTCCCGTTGAATGCATTCGTATCGCCCGGAAATATCTATTAAAAATTCTTTACACTTTATAGGGTCCATATATTATAGACAAAAAAACCAAATGAATGTACGCCCACCTTACAGTAGTAGGGATATGGGAAAGAAAAGTAACAGCATCTGCTGGAATTTATTATCATTATAATTAATTTATGCCAAGGAAATGCTTTTGTATACGAAAGCCACTTAAGAAAAATCTTACTCCCTCCGATCGAACATTTACGTAGTGGTTTATGTTGATTTTAAGGCTAAGGACGCAAGAACATCCAAGAAAGTCAAAAATTTTGAAAGCGAAAAGCCGCAGCGAATATAGTACGGAGTGTAACAACATTGAGAAAAAAGTGGAAACCTCAAGTAATATCTAAAAACTTTTAATGGAAACAAACCGTGGATAGCAGAGTACGTAAGAATCGCGGCTGTGAATCGCAGTACTCTCGTGCAGGAGGTTCGACTATATATTGCCGAATGTAAAGCCAATAGCTCCATTGCAACAGCCAGTAGAATTTATATCAAAGAGATTGCACAGACGGACCGACATGTTTAATAACATGTTTAAATCGATGAAGACGCTTTCTTCTGGGCGTTGCAAGAGTTCTACAAAATTTCATTTTTCAATGTTAGGTATAAAAAATGAAGGAATGGTTCAAAGAAAAAGGTTGCTATTAACGTAAAATGCCGTTTATTGTTATTCTTTGAAACGCTATCGAAATTCGATCGAAAATCGATAGATAGATAGATAGATAGATAGATAGATAGAGAGAGAGAGAGAGAGAGAGAGGGGTGTGAAAGCCAAACATTCATCGTACTTTACTAGGAAAAGTCCCATGACGATATCGATCAAGAAAACGCCACAAATAGGTTTCATCCTAATGTATAATTCTATGAGAAAGAAGTATTAGAACTCACAATCCCAAAGAGCTAAGATCCTAGGAATTTAGATGGCCATGGCTAATCGTCAATTAGAGAAAATCTGTTGAGGGTTGTGGTGGTGGTGCTGGTGGTTGTGTCAAATACACATGAAAACGGATATAGCTCATTTCGTTATCTATTTTTTCAATATTTCACAACAACGGGAACAAGAGTCAATAATTCACTTAAACTATTGATGAAGGGTTTGAGCAAACACTAAGGTAAACTTGCACAGATTTTGGCAGTTTTAAAGAATTAATAAATGTGTAAAATAAAACAACTCACCAATTGGTATATAATGTATTGTGACTGCTGTGCTTAGTCGTCCCCCGCCCAAACTAACTAAGTGCGGATCATTGGCAGCGACTCGCAGGGAAGGATCCTTTTTTAACGACATCTTATAACAAGAAATTTATTTCTTGACGTATAATTTCCGCATATACATATACTTTACACTCCACTTTACTAAACACGAATTGAAATGTAAATTTTTTCATAATTCTTAATAGTTTCAAGTGAATAGCGGATGTAAGCGTATGTAAAGGTACGTAAATGTCAGCTTTATATGGACTTTCCGCTTCCAATCTAATAATTATTATTAATTGAGTACACACTTTGTATTTATTATGACTTCACTTCATTTAAGATACTTTTAATTGTGTTATTGTGCGTTGTGTGCGTTGTGTGCGTTGCGTTTTACAGTTACAATCGCAAACAAATTTTACCCAAAGCACACATGTATGCATATGAGTGCAAATGCAGGCAAAAATACATTATTCAATTTTTAATTCGCACAACATACACTTTTAATGTAAAAAAAGAATTCGAAAATCAAGCATACGATGAATAATCGTCTATTATTAAGCCTTTAAAAAACAAAACACTTTTTGCAATGTATGATTAAAAATACAAAAACGAAAAACATTTTGCATTCGCATGAGAGTGTGTGCGTGCGTCTTTCTTTTTTTTTTTCTTATTTAAAGAAATTTAATGAAATGGCCGCTAACCTTTATAGGATTTTATCAATTTATCAGTTGTGCACGAGAAATAATTATTTAATATTACTTTTTCTATGATGTTTTAAAATCGAAAAAATTATAAATATTTTACACGCACCACACTTAAGCCAACTAAAGTGAAAACTGATTCATTAAGAAACACGAACTACGACAACTCTATACTAAACGATGATAAATAAAAGTAATGTTGCCGGCTTGACGTTTTTAAAGCAGTATTGAACAGGTAACAACTTGGTAATAACAGTAATTGCAGCATGACCATGGGGACTTTTGCCGACGGCTTTGCAATTAGCAGATTTCCTGGGTTGTAAAGCTGGCGGCTTTGCTTGCCTACCTTTAAGTGTAGTATTAATGTAATAATTAAGATTGCTTATACGTCCTGTTAGAATTTCTTTTTAATTTTATCTTCTTTTTGATGACGAAATATGTTTATATGTTTATATATGTTTTATTAAGTCTAATCAAAGAATAATCTTTTCGTTTTTCTCCGTTTCCTATACTGTATAACGGATTTAAAGTTAAAAAAGGAAAGAAAAGCCACAATATGTTTGTTTGTTTGTATAGAATTTCAACAGATGTTTTTTATTGATTAGCAGAGAAAAGTATTACATTCTTTCTGTAAATAGCAGAATATTTAGCTACTGTTTTGTTTAATTTTGATAATAAAAAAAAATAATGTCGGTCTACTTTTAGGCTAACTTGTAAAATTAAATAAGTAAAAGTAAATAATTTTAGTTCGCGTATTTTTCGTTTTTCACAAGAGAAAAACGATTTTTAAAGAAAGACTAGTTACCCAATTTTGTCAATTTATCAATATGGCATGAAAAATTGACGCTTTGCATTTAAAAATCTGTGTTTTGCCGACGGCTTTGTGCTTTTTTGGTCTGTTATTTCACAGAATTGAACCCCTTTTGTCGGTAAAGTTGGGCATTTAACATAGCTGATTGGCGTTGCCATTTAAGTTGTTAAGTTGGGCTTTTAACCATTTATGTATTGTAAGCGACTCTGTACTTTGCCTTTCAACAGGGAATTTAGCTAGGACTTTGATTAAAAATTATCACGGTTTAATTCTAATCTAACTTGTAAAATTATTATTATTATTGTTATTATTATATATTTAGCCAGAGAATAAAAACTGAAAAAAACTTAACATGAGCTAACGGACCAAAAGAGCAAAAGCCGTCGGCAAAGCACACGCAATTTGCATTTTGCAATGAATTTTAACAGATTTCGTTAGTCATAAAGCTCTTTTAACAGATTTCGTGAGACATAAAGCTGGCGGCTTTGCAAAATAAAAAAAGACCACTAGGAGGTTTTCCAGCCCTTGAATGAATTGATTTACAATGGTTTTTAAATAACATTAATATGCTCATTTGAAAAAATAAGAGGAGTGCAAGGTACAAGAAAGTAGTTACCAGAGGCATTCGAAAATATGTATATGGGCAAAAAGATACAGGAAAACAAAATATAAAGATATTTTCTAAGATATAAATTGAGCGGATTATTCAATGGCTTCGGCTAAACATTACATTTATTTGCTATTCAGATATATACCGATCAATAATAAAGAACCAGTTTGAGTTGCTTTATTCGCAATGAAATGAGAGATGAGGATTAACTTTCTTATTGTTCTGCTGCTAAGTCACGCATTTCATTGCGTGAAATAGGCTTTCTATATTGTTCAATTCAAAAAAGTTACATTATGAAATTGCTAAGAATATTGATTGTAAAAACGACTTTATCTTAAAAAGTTTGGCTTGACTTAAAATGCGCTTTTTCTCTGCCGGTGCTGCGATATCAAGTTATCGATACTGCAATATCTAATAATAATAAAAAGTAATAGTTTACTATTTCTTTAAACCACTATAAAAACCACTATTTTTGCGGCTGTGTGTATTGTTTTTGTAAATCTGGTAAATATTTTTCTAAACGTAAAAAAGCAATCAGCTGAGAAATTTGTAAAAAGTTTTTTTTGCTGTCATAAAGTTTAAAATTAAAATTCGAGGCCGAAAAAAATTCAATATTCGCCACTTTTAATTTATATTCGGTTCGATCAGATACTATCCTTATTGCTTAGAACTCCATATAAGTCTTGTTCAGTTGAAAGGGTAGAGTGGTAATTATGGCATCTTCGGACACCGGCAAAGAGGAAATAGATGAAGCAGAGGTAATAAAAAATTAGTAGTTTTTTTTTTTTTTTTTGTTGCCGTCTAAAGTAGTACTTATAAATGTATGGATGTATGTTCAGGAAGAGGCTTTATTAAAATCGGATGATGACTATGACATGCGTGAGGTCTCAGAGCAATCTTCTATTAACTTGGAAGGACCACTAATTGATGAGGATTTTTTAATCAATGACTCATCCAAGTCGCAATCTAATGCTAAATCAGATTTTACTTCTAATAATAAAGTCATGAGTGAAAGAAAAGAAAGCGAGAGTGACATTTCTTCGGACAATGAAGACGATGCGGAAAGAGAAGCTTTGAAGCAATATGAGGATCTTGTTGCGGAGCTAGAGTCTGAAAAATATGCATATGACAAATATGTACGTTTATGCGATTTATCACAGTAAGTATCATATGCATTCCCAGCTGATTGTTTTCATAACATTCGTAATATAACATACTCATAGCGCAACCGGTGATTTGGACAACATCCGTAAAGCCTACAAGAGTTTTTCCGAAGTCTATCCCCTAACTGCAGAACTTTGGCTTCGCTATATTAATGTCGAACTAAAACTGGCGCAGAGTCCGAACGAGATTGAAAAAGTTGAAACGCTGTTTAAAAGAGCGTTTCAAGATTACTACTGTAAGTACAATTTCTCTTTGCATACATTAAAACTGGATTGGTAAAAGAAAGTGGCATTATTCCAGCTTGTGACTTGGCTGAGAATTTTGCTTCGTTTGCCCCTCGTTGCAAGGATGCAGATATGATATGGAAGCAAATATTAAGTACTTATGGGCTGCATTGTTTCCAAAGCAGATATTACTTTCAAATGTATCGGAAATACCTGAAAGTATTTTACAGTATTGAAGACAATCAAAATGATTCGTATATAGAAAGCTTTTTAACTGAGCTGCGTCATCCTCACGTGGATATGGAAGAAAGTTTTATCGAATTTAGAGTGTTCTATGAGTGGAACAAAGAAACGCTTTCACAGAAAATAAAGTGGGAAGATGTTGAGAGACGCTATTTCAGAGCCAAGGAGCAATTACAAAAAATTTTACCCTTTGAAGAGAAACTGAAAACGTACGCCGAGCATGCTTACCGTGAAAAAGTGGACACCTACTTCGAATACATAGAAGCTGCTGATAAATTGCTAGATGAAAATGTATTGCAAACCATATATGAACGCATGGTTGCTGAATGTTGCCTCAACGCAGATTGTTGGCTTAAATACATAAAATTCATTGAATACCGCGACGAATATGGACCTCCAGATGGGTTACCCGCCTTCCATCCGTTTAATCAAACCGCAGATGATATTAACAAGCGAGCTTTGCGAAATTGCTCTTGGTCGCCTGAGCTATATATCAAGCGGATGCGTTTATTTGAAAAAATGGGCAAAACGAAAGAGGAAATTCAGGAAATTTTAGAAGGGGCAATGGCGGCTGGGTTTCAAACACCCGAGCCGGCCGTCCTTATATGGCTTGAATATCTCACTTACTTAAGACGTCACACCGAGTGGGGGAATGAAAATGAGTGCGATACCTTACGCAAAACTTTCAACTTAGCCTGGACAATATTGGGACAGCAATGGGGTGTCTTAGCTGATTGCAACTGTGAAATATTGCAATTCTGGGGACGTTTAGAATATGGACCCTTGCAAGATTCAAAAAGAGGCAAAGAACTATGGACGACGGTTATGGGTAAGCAATTGAAATGAAATGAAATTAAATGTGAATAGTATTTAAGCTTGAAATAAATTTCCATGTGATATACAGAAAGTTCCGATAACGCATCAAAATCCGGCCTATGGATAGAATTTGCTTTATTGGAAATGAGACGTGATTTGGAGTCCACTAGAAAGTAAATACATTATCATATTCGCATGAACTTGTATGAAAAATTCATTCAATTTCTCCTCAAATGTCAGCATATTTAGTAAAGCACTACGCTCTGTTAATTTGGACAATCCATCTGTGATAAGCTCGGCTTGGGAAAGATTTGAACGTTGCAATGGTACGGCGAAGACTCTCGAGAATTGTCTTAAAGAATGTCATGGCATCAATAAGAATGTAAGCTTAAAGTTGTCGCAACACAAAAGTAACATCAAATCTAAAAAGGAAGTGAAATCTGTAAAGAGGAAAGCTTCACCTTTACGAGATGAAGTGCCTTCGAAGCATTCGAGGAATCTTGATGCCGAAGTAAATTCATGTGAAAAGCGAACTTTCAAAGATCACGAGGATCAAACCATCGATATATCGAAAGACCATTTACGTATTTTTCTTTCGAACTTGGATTACAACATAAGCGAAGAACAGATACGCGCTGAATTAATCGAGTTGAAAATCGTTAACGTGGAGTTAATACGGTCAGCAAATGGTAGAAGTCGAGGATTCGGTTATGCAGAATTAATAAACGAAGTAAATAGAAAGACCCATCAATCGTTCCAACTGTGTTAGTTCAAAAATCTTATTTACCCCTACTACTTTCTAGGACGAAGTGGAGAAGGCTCTTGCAATGGATCGAAAAATACTGCATGGTAGGCCGTTGTATATATCAAGTGTTTTAAGAGACAAGCAACAGCGTCAAAAATTCAAATATTCTGGTAAATTTGTTAATGAAATTCCCAATTTTTCATAATACCAACCTCGAGCATTTCTCGTTGTTAGTCGAAATTGAGCCGCAAAAGCTGTTTGTCAAAGGGTTGCCCCCCGATGTCACTGAGCAGGAATTGAAGGATATTTTTGCGGCATTCGGTAACATAAAAGATGTCCGGCTAGTGCATCACAAGTATGTGACACTGACAAAATTTGAAAATTTCCATACCCACCAGGCAGCGACATTTGGTTTTTCATTTCTTTAAATGATCACTTTTCAAAAGAAAGTCGTGCTTTTAGTTTCGGTTTTTGCGATTACAACATGCATTGTTGTTTTTGATATATAATATATAAACTGTCATATACGATTGTGAGACAATACATAAGGATTCCGATTTGATATTTGGCATTTGCAAGCTTTCTGTTTATGAAGCTTCAATAGTGGACAGTCGATTGCCTTGGGGGGCGAGGTATTGTTAATAAAATAAATGACCGTCACTCACTCTCGCTTCTTTACCAAAATTGCATTCAAGCGTTCACACAAAATTTTACTTACGTCAAACAATGCCTCTAATTCAGCCTTAAGAAAAGCTCGAAAATTAAACGTTCATTCCTTAGTATTATTTCATCTCCACACTATTATTACATATGGTCGTTCGCGAGCATGTTATACTAAGTATTTTAGTGGTATACGAAACTTGCTTGAAGAAGCAGATGGTGGGTATCGAATAAAATCAGTCTAAGCGAAATTTCGCTTTTTTCTTTTCGAGTGCATCATGGAATCTTTACTTTCACAGATCGGGGAAATTTAAAAATATCGCATATATAGAGTACGAAGATGCGTCTTCAACTGGCAAAGCTGTTTTAGCCCTGGATAAAACGAAACTGAGAGACCATTTAGTGAGTAAACAAATATTGCTACAATTCTGGAAGTCTATTAATAATTTCGTTTATTTAGTTGTCTGTGGCGATATCTGCTCCACCGCCGAAACCAACTACTTCGCCCAGCAATCCTATGAAGTCGTTGGGAATTATTCCGCACAAACAAAGAAAAGCTTTTGACCAGAAACCACGCATGTCACTAATACCGAATGCCGTGCGCAAGAATTTTCAAAGTCAAAATGCGCCAAATTCTTTGAATACGCTTATCAATCATAACGGCGCTCCCAAGACGAACGAGGATTTTCGCAATTTGCTAAAGCGTTAAGTGTATAATTGAATGCATAGATTGTTTAGATACATTCATCTTTACGTGAGCAAAAATTGAAATAAAAAAGAATTTGAAGAAGGCGGAATTATGCATGCTCTAGAAGAGTAATTTAAGTGACTACCTTCACGATCATTGGCTATCACCTTTTATTAATATAAACACTGTCGGCATAAAAATGGCGAAATGACATTTTTAATGTATTCATGATTTAAATTTAATGCTCTTGCTAACTGTGGCCTTTATGCCAGATATTTCTCCACTATACCGTGTAGACTCCTTTCGAACGGTTCGCACGGCGCCTTTACGCCTAATCAACGCTTTCCGATATTTACTACGATGTTTAACTCGAGGATTACGCAATTCCTTTTTACGATGTGGCGTAAGTCCTTTATTTTTGGCCATTTGATAAGTTATACCTCTGCGAAGAATCTCATCACCGGGATTTTCCTCTTCATGATCATCGCCTTCATTTAAATTTTCGTTTGAGTCGTTGCTTTCTAAATCAGTCTCCATCCCTTGCTGATTAACTCGATTTACGCTTGTGTTTTTCTTACAATTATTTACTTCAAGTTTGTGGAGCTCAGGTTGGACTTCTAGTACTTCGAATACGTCACCATCTTCTATCCGTTCTAGAAGTGCTTCTAGTTGAGGTTTAATTATGTTCTCGTGCTTGTCAGCCAATTTTTTTAGCAGTTTTTTCATCTGATTTAATCTTTGGACAATAGGGTGGTTCTGAATGGATACCCTCTTTGCCTTGAGCAGTAGATAAAACATTAAATTGTTGCAATAGGTCAACGCAAGGTTCTGATAAAATTTTGCAAATTTTAAGGCCGGTATCATAGGAACGTTATTATTGACGACGTATTCAAGAACTGGATTGTGTATATTCTGCATTTCTTCTAAATAACCCTCAAGATCACCCACTATGCCAGCGAACTCTGGGGAGTCCTTTTCAAACAATTGTAAACGTTCTCTTTTCGTTAATCCAGAAAAATCGGATATCAGTGGCACGGTTTCAGAATCCTCAAGTTTTCGATCATCGGCTTGATCTTTCGATGTACTTGTTGTAGCGTCTAAGAGAAAATCCTCCTCTTTTAGTTCCTTTACCAAGCGTTGCTGAATACTTTTCGCTTCTTCCGCTTCAAATTCGGCCAATTCCTCTTCTCTCTCATTGTAGGAAGTGTAATCTTGATCAATAAAATCTGTATTATAATAGTTGCGGCTACTTTTACCCCAATATTTTGTATCGGGTAAATCGTCGTCATTTTGCTCGGCACCTTCTATATCACTATCATGCAATCCCAAATCGTCATCGTTCAAATTATTTTCCTCATCGCTTTCATTAAACGTCATAATTTCATTTTTCCGTGTTTTCTCTTTTCGATAAGAGGTCCGAACTTCCTCCAATAATTCCTTCTCCTCCTCACTATATTCATTTTCAGAATCAGTGCATACATCGTCAACATCATCATCCTCCTGGTTTATGTGAATTTTATTCGACATTTTTATTGTATTATTAAGCAAACAGCACGTGGACAAGAAAACTAGAAATCCGTTTGGCAACAAGTAGCACAATGCAGGAACATGCCTATGTACATAATTGTCTTCTTCTGTTTCTTTTTAAATGTTCAACGAAAAACAGATGACTCGCCGTATCGTTTTGATGTTGTAAAGCTCGTAACGTATGTGTTTTGTTGTTGTTCATTGCGCATTAAAGACAGGGTTGTTACTCTCTGTAGTAGTTACCACCAGTATCATGTGATTGTTTTTAGAAATGAGATTGTTTACTTAACAAATGCCTTTACCTCACAATGGAAAATAGACTATTCACGGTGGCAATGAAACTTGAAGAGATAGGAAATTTCCAAGATTTGATTTAATGATAATTTAAAATAAAATAGAAAAGCCAAAGAAGGTTACGTTCCTAGCCAATATTGTATCCATCACCCTAATTTCATAAAATGATCTTCGAAAAAGTGAAAAACGAAATATATATTTGGAAAATACTCAAATCGATGGAAATTTTAGCAACTTTGACAATTTATTGCTTTTCTTCATATTGTAACTTATATTAATCTAGTTGAAATTTTAATGGAATGGAATTTTTCTCTGCATTTCTTCTTTATCACATTGTGTATTTCTAGAAACTACATATACAAAAATTCTTTTTCAACATTTTAAAACATTTATAAAACAAAACTATTTAACAAACATCACATATTATTAACAATTCAAATAGATAACTTTTCTCAACTAACATCAAAATTTGAACAACAAAATCACTTTGGATCTGTTAATATTAAAAGTGTTCTCAATTTTTTTTTTCTTTTTAAGCTTAGTATTAACAGTACTTTGCAATTTTCTGTGAAAATAGTTTGGTATTGGCTCCCGAAAAACTACATAACTTTTTGCCATTTTTAATAAAGATAAACGTTGGGATACTTGTTACCCGATATCTATCGGCAAGTGCTTGAAATTGATCCACATCGATTTTAAGAACAGTCGCTCTATAATAGTGCGAAATCACCTTCAAATATTTATCCATAGTTTTACAGGGACCGCACCAAGTGGTATAAAAGTCCAAGATGACCAACGTATTACCAGCAGTTCCTAAGACATTTTCAAGCTCGGCTTCCGATGTTATAATTGAAATCAACATATTCTTAAATAGAACGCAGCAAGTAGGTAAAATAGTAGTAAAACACGTAAAACACTTGCAACAGCCGTGACGACAAGCCTTAATAAATGAAGACAAAGCAATTTTATAATGCAGTTTGCTATAGCTGAAATAACGGTAAAGCTTGGTATAAAAATGGCGGGAAAGCTTTTGCTGACTTTTTGTATGAAAGCACACAATTCAGCTTAGTACTCTTTGCAAGCATAATCACTCTGTGCAATAAACGTAGCCAAATGCAACCGTATAACGTAAATAACGTAAAATTTTTTCAAAAGAAAACCTGGTAGAGCAAAAAGCTTTTAATGAAAAATTGCTAAATTGGAAGAATCGTAAAATTGAATTTTTACCTAGAAAGATTTTTGTGTTTAGAGCTTGAAAAGAAAATTAACGTTGTTTATTTTGAATTGTTTTTCGCACTTATGTAAGCAATAATAAAAAAATAATGGCTTCTCCAAGCGCTACAAATATTCAAAATTCTCGACGAACTACCAACGTTACACCGAGCGGTGGCGGTGCGACATCCGGAACAACATCTCGTGCCGCTATGAGGACTAGTACTAAACGTCAAACTTTGACAAAAAAACTTGACGACACCTCTCTGGAAAATAAAGTGCATCTCATTGGCGATAAAGAGGATTTTGAGAATATATTAACAGCGGCTGGCGACAAATATATTATGGTTGAATTTTTTGCTACATGGTGTGGTCCCTGTCGCATGCTAGCCTGTAAAATAGATGAATTGGCTTCTTTATACCAAGATAAGGCCGTTATGGTTAAAATCGACGTAGACGATTTTGAGGAGTTGGCAGCGGAATATAATATCACTTCTATGCCTGCGTTTATGATAATAAAAAATAAACAAAAAGTTGAGCATTACTGTGGCAGCAAAGTTGAGCAATTAGAAGAATTTATAGAGAAGTACTTGGGAAAGCCCGAAATGAAATAATTTGAATAGTCATTATAGAAAAAAATTCGCGGGCCATTTTATTAATTTCCTCTTGCCAGCACTTGGAATCTCTGTATATATATGAATAAATCTTTTCATTTTTTCTTTTCATGCATTCATTCTCGACTTTTAACAATAAACTAGGCACTAGGTAATGACATTTGAATTTTTAGTTTGAAATAAATCAAAATTTTTGTTTATTTCGGATATAAATTGAAAGGAGAGAAATGTCCGCGGATCCGCATCCACGCCAGACAGCCAATCCAATTGTATTAATAAATGATGAAGCCGAATATAATAATGTACTGCAAAAAGTTGGCAGCAAAGTGCTCGTCATTGAATATTATGCAAGTTGGTGCGGACCGTGCAAAGTGATAAATTCCAAATTAGAAAAATTAGCTCAGAAATATTCGCACAAGGTAGTTATCGTTAGGATAGATGTCGATGAATGCGAACAATTGGCAATCGATAATAATATAGTCGCTATGCCAACTCTGATTGTAATGAAGGGTAAACAGAAACTGGGGCAATTTGCTGGTTTTAAAGTGGACCAATTGGAAAAAACTGTTGAGAGATTAATTAAAAAACCAGAAGTTGTGCAAACGGATCAACAATCACCACCGTTAGTTATATCAGTGCGAGAACCGATTCGAAATGATCCTTATCAACAGCCGTCGACAAGCAACCCTGACGATGCAGATGCTGATAATTCCGCCGACGTTGATACTCCGTCCACATCGAGAAGTTCTAAAATCAAGAAACCTATACGCTTATCGGCCACCCGACGCATTTTAAAATGATGCATATGTACTTTACATTATTTTTAAATTTTCATTAAACACGCTGAGTTGATTTTCGATTCTTTCAAAATTTTAACTATATAACCTTCACTGGTTTGTCAAACCTGATTTCAGAAGAATAAAATAGACTAACGAGTAAAAAAACTAAATAAAATAATTTAAAAAAAATCAAATCAAAAAATTATTTTTGTTGGTCTTTTACAAGAAAAAGCATTTGTGAGAAAAGAAAAGAAATAAATAAATAAAATAGAAAATGACGTACAGCGTTCAAAGTAAGGAGGACATGGAGAAGCAGATCAATGAAGCGGGTGAAAAACTAATTGTCATTGATTTCTATGCCAGTTGGTGTGGACCATGCAAGATCATTAGCCCCAAATTGGAGGAATTGTCTGTTCAATATTCTGACAAAGCGTTAGTTTTAAAAGTGAATGTCGATGATTGTGAGGAAATCGCTTTAGAATACAATGTAACAAGCATGCCGACGTTTGTTTTTATGAAAAATCGTCAAATAATAGACATTTTTGTCGGCGGCAATCCAGAAAAATTGGTAAAGAATATGGAGAAATACGTTGGTGGCGAGCCGTTGCCAGTTTATGTAGATAATCCTATAGAAAGTGATGATCTGGAAGAAGAGCAGTTAGAAACAGCCTTGGACACTGCACCAATAGAAGCCGCTGTCGAAGATCAACAACAGGTTATCAATTAAATGGAAATTCTTATGTGGGTATATATATAAATATTTCTTACAATAATTCTATATAAATCTTTTATTGTAATAATTAAAATCCATAAATTTCAAATACACCCTTTTCCCTTACAACTTGGAAAACTTGTCAGCTATCGAGCATGGAAAGATTTTGCAATTAGGCAATTTGTATCATTTCATCAAATAAATAATAACTCTTGGGGATTCCATGTTTTTCTTACGAGGGCAAAAAAAAATTATTTTAGCTTAAAGTGGAATTGATCTTTCCTCCTTCTTAGCAATGAAAGTTTTTTTTTTGTTAATTTGCAAAAATGCCTTTGATTTTATTTTTTCGCGAATGTAATTTTCATTGCATGGGATGGTGTAATTTTAAAGCCCTGTAAAGCTTCCTTTGCCGCATTGCTTTGTAATTCCGTAGCGAATTCAACGAAAGCTATATCATGACGATTGGGTACCAAGCGGACCTCTTTGAAACCAGGAAATTGATTAAATAACATGGAGAGCATCATTTCATTAGTTTCTTCTGGCAAATTCGTCAGGAATAGAATTTGATTAGGTGGTTGTTCGCTCTGAGTATTTGGATTCGTATTTTCCGCATTAGACGCCTTCTTCTTTTTATCCCTGTACAATTTTTAATAAAAAAATAAAACAAGCTTGCACATAATATCGCTTCTAACATACTTTTTATCATCCGTCGTTACAACCGGCTTTGAGGGTCTCACTTTTTTGGGTCTCTCTTTAAATGTACCTTTAATTTTGGCCACTATATCCGAATCAGTTTTTGCGTATGCAATACGCATCGGCTTATCATAAAATGGGAATCCTTGCATGGTGCGTAAAGCATTCGATGCACTCGCAATTTCCTTAAAAATGACAAAAGCTTGACCACGCATCTTTAGCGTTTTCAGTGCGACAATATCTAAAATTTGCCCAAATTGTGAAAAAATCGCATACAAGGATTTTTTCAATTCTTCTTTTTTAATTTTTTCATTCAAATTATTAATATATATGGTCTGATTTGGACGCAAATCCATTATTCCGTCGAATAATTCTGATTATTAGAAATTAAAGGAAATAATATTTGTTTACGATAACACACGATGCGCTGCAATGTTACCAAAGTAAAAAAAATGTTATATCTTTACAGTGATGCAGTGATGTAGAAGATAGCAACGATAAATTTTACCAAATATACTTTGTACGTAAATGTTATATCCTTTGTTACAATGCGTTTTAAACGAAAATGCCGTCCTTTCTCCATAAAATATTACTAAACTATATTTTATTACTATTTTTAAGTTATCTGCATGAATGGTGAATTGCCTCACACTACAGATCGACAATAATATTTTAATGTATTCAGAATAACATAATCGACCGTCATACAATTCGAAATTACTACATTTTTTTTTTAGGAAATTGAAAAAATCATTTTTGTTCTCTTGTTTTTTTTACAAAAGCTTTATGTGTAGAGAATATAATTAATAATTAAAATAAAATAAACACTGCAACACTATACTATGGCATATTATAATGCTTCCTGCATATGCAAATAGCATCTTTCTGCAAGGCTTGTTTTCTGCATAAACTTTGCGCAGCACTAAATAAATTATGGTAACAGCCTTTGAAGCTAAAAATCGGTCTTAGATTAATAAAACGATTTACAAATTTGACAAAAATATGGTATGATTAAGACAGCTTTTCGATTTGAACGCCATTCAAACTCGAATTGCTATTCTATACTCCACCTATATAAGTGGTGAAAAGGCACAATAATCTTTACTACATTGCTCCGCGATATATTTATTCACATAAGTTAACACTTGGCATATGTGCTCTTAGCTGACACATATCACAATTAGGCGTCCACGATCATCGTCCCACTAGAAAAAAAAGATTTGAAGCTTTGTACAAATATTTCCTATAATCAAATGTAACATTATTTAAGTAAATAATTTTTATTTGTGGCTGCAGATAGGATGTACGGATGTTCGGTTATAGACAAATGCAACTCTCTTACTTGTTTTAACAACACTTGACAGCACCGATAGTTACAAAAAAAAATCTAAGGAAAGTCTTTATTTTTTTATTATATTGTAGTGAGTAAAATGTCAAAGAATAAATTTCACGAGTCTTCCTTTGCGGATGCAAAAATAATAGAAGTGAAATCAAAGGTAAAAGAAAGGAAAATGCAATAATACTTCCATGTAAAGCTTCCTCGCATTGATTTGGTGATTCATTAAATGAAATGAATTTTTCTTTTGGCCAAATTTGTTTTGTTTGTCTAAATTAATAGATGTTTTTAAACGATCAAATGTTATTATATTTCATTTTTTATTTGGAATTTATCGCCTTTTAAATTTGTGGTTATTCTCGTTAACATTTAGTTTGATGCTGAGTTTAGACGATTCGGTCTCAGGCGTCATGAAGAGCCGCCAAAATTTGATAAATTTTATACGCTTATTAAGGAATTGCATGGATTAAATAATATACGCTTTGTAATCCGTTATATTGATCCACGGGATCAAGAATTACTGCCTATAAACAATGATGATAATTATGGACGTGCCCTCAAAACGGCGCAACCCATCTTACGTGTAATAGTTCAACGTGAAGAGGATTTAGAGTATGGGTGTCCGAAGCCGCGCGGTAATCATTTTAATATAATCAGTATGCTAGGGCAAACTCCTGGCAAGCAAAAAGCCCCTCCAATTTCAATGCCGCATGATTTTCGTCAAGTATCAGCAATTATTGACGTTGATATTATACCAGAGACACAGCGACGCGTTCGTTTGCTAAAGCATGGCAGCGACAAGCCTTTGGGATTTTATATAAGGTAGTGTCACGGCATTTTATTTAAGAAATCAATGTATCAATTGTTCCACTTCAGGGACGGAACCTCGGTACGCGTAACACCGAATGGTTTGGAAAAACAACCTGGTATATTCATATCCCGACTAGTACCAGGGGGTTTGGCTGAAAGCACAGGTTTATTGGCCGTCAATGACGAGGTCATCGAAGTAAACGGCATCGAAGTAGCTGGAAAAACATTGGACCAAGTAAGAAAGATAAAAAGTTCGATGACGTGATGCTTTAATCATTTTTAAATTTCAGGTTACTGATATGATGGTAGCCAACAGTTCAAATTTGATTATAACCTTTAAGCCGGCCAATCAACGCACATTAACTTCCCCGCGACGTGGTTCTTTTTCGCGTACTAGTCAACTGTCGAGTGGTTCGCATCAAACCAATCATACAAACACATCCGATGAACTCGAACAGGATGAGCAAGACGAAATCCTAGACTTAACTGGCGTCACTTTGGATGATAATGCCGGCGGAATGTCATTAACTCAAACACAACATCAGCACAAGCAAAGTGTAACTGGTCCAGGCGTGGTTGAATCACGCGATGGCGTTCTACACCTTTAAGAATAAAACTCCGCACACGTAGTGCTACTCTTATTATATATATATTCTAAAACAGATAGACTTCAAACTGTATACAAACGAAGTGCCTTACAGACAACCAATTAACCAACCAATCAACCAACCAACCAACCAATGTGATTATTGATAATTATTGCATAACTTAAAAAAAGGTATCAGTCCTCTTACTGTTACTTAATTTAAAACTTCTGGAATTGTGGTAAACATTTTCTATCGCTATTAAGAAGCAAAGAAATGGGCATCAATATCATCATTAATTACATATATATTACAAAAAGCAAAAAAGGCACGAATGCATGCGTTAAAGCAAAAAAAAAAACAAAACAAAACAAAAAAAAGCATTCCGTTCTTGTTAACATTCATACACTGAGTATTTGGTTATGTAGCGTAGTATTTAGAAGTATTGAGTTTATTTTATTATTATTCTGAATAACATTTTGTTGAATGTATGTATGACTGCATTACAATAAAAGAAAAATTTTACTTGTATTTTTGAATTCTGTTTATTTCCAGTATATAAATGTAGTTAAAACCTGGGGTCAATCACTTTGTGTAGTCTCTTTCTCTCTTTGCAGGGATTGCCATATTTCCTTTGCATTTGGCCTATCGTTTGGTACTTCATTGGTGCACAAATAGAAAAGTTCTATAATGATATTGTAGTCATCACTAAAGTCGAAGGCTCCTGGTAGAGGCGGCCTAGTTCCATAAATCAATTCATCACTTAAAGAGTTTTCCAAACTTTCAGAAACATTGCTTTCGTCTAACTCAGTATCATCATTTGATTCAGATGCATTGGAACAGTTTTCCTCGTTATTTAAATCTTCAATTTCATTTTGTTCAACTTCAAAGGTATGTGGGGGGACCAAAGCGATAGTCTCATAGATAACCAAACCAAAGCTAAATATATCACAGCTGCTGCCGATTTTGCCATCTTTAAAAGTTTCTGGAGCAGACCACAACAAGGTGCCCACATATTCTAATTTAGAATCCTTTGTAAAATCCACATGACCAGTTTCATCTAACGGCAAGCTAACGCCAAAATCGCAAAGTTTGCATATCTCAAACTCGCCCTTCACTAAGACGTTATAAGACTTGATGTCTCCATGTAAGAGCCGTGCTTCGGTGTGCAAATAGTCTAATGCCTTGGCTATATCCTCAATTAGTTTTTTTGTTTGAATAGCAGGTAAAGGTCCTTCACTTTCTTCAAAACGTCTTTCCAAAATTAAACCCAAAGAAGTATTACAACACTCCATGGCAAGTGCATCAACGCCATTGCAATCCTTGGTAATTGTCCTGAAACCGATGATATTTGGGTGTTGCAATTGCCGTAAAATTTCAGCTTCTTTAACAATGCGACTATTTAAGGTCGCGTATTTATCTTGATTTAATTGTTCAATACGATGCGAAGCACGTTTCACCGCCCAAGGCGAGCAAGTTTGGCCTGATCGTTCCAAACGGTACACATTAACACCGGTTCCGTAACCCAAATTTCTCATGAATGGCGAAGGGGGTATATTAAGTGGAGAACAACCTTTTTTTACTTCCTCCGATTGCGGGTTGCGCAAAACGCGTTGCGGGGTTCCGGATTCCTGCATTTCTTCTGCCAAATCTTCTAATGAATTTAATAAAATGAAAGCGCGCTTGCGAGTGGGCGTCTTTGCAGTTTTTTTTAAAAAGCTGTCATTTCTAGAGTTGCAATTGTTCCAATTTTTCTTTCTATTCGTTTCCATATATCTTTTTTTAGAATTATTTTGAGTTGCCAGATTTAAAAAAATTTATATATATAACTAAAGAGAAGCTATATTCGATTTGGAACGAGTTTTTCAGCATTTGTTTGCCTTGAAAGTACTCGCTAGATGAATGGTGAAAGCTGCATCGTATATTTGTATATTTGTCTTGTCATCAATTAATCTACTTAGTTTGACATGATGTTTTGAAGAAATCACATTTTTCCGAATTTTCTTCGCTCTTGCCAAGTTAATTTTAAACATCAGTAAAATTCGTTTATGCAGTGAATGAGAAATTGATATGCTTTTTTTTGTTTGTGTTGAAATATACCAAGCTTATGGAGCCCTTTCTCTGTTTAATGATGAGGCTATATGTCTTCTCTTGAGTGGTATTTTTCAATCCTTTGTTTTAAAAGTATCGATTGTCCAGACATCTATTTAGCAGTCTACTCGTTTTGAAAAAAAGAACAAACTTAGCAGAATTTGTCCTTTGATATGTTAAAAGTTTCGCATCTGAATGTTGTTTACTTCAAAATGTTTCTTTTCGATAACCTTATTTACGTCGTTATTTTAATAGGGGGTTTTCATAATCATGTGTTTTTGGTTTTTGGCATTTGGTCAGTGGCAAGTAATCAGCTGTCATACCATTTATTTTTTGGGAGTTTCATATTTGACGCTTTTACGTAATTTATATCAAGCAAAAAAAAAAAAAAGAAAAAGATGGGTAATGCATACCATCGTGCTGTACACCCTGATACCTTCCCGGGTCCTGATTTTGAGCCGACGTTTGATCCGCTACTTGGCGCGCCTAATCGAAAAGTAAGAGTTTCAAATGTTACCAAAGAGGAAATGGTGTCGGCAAAATTACCCCTCGAAGATCGTGATTATTGTGCTGATGTGCTACTTAAATACAGAGCCTGTAGGACGAGGGTCTTCCCATTTCTATACAAATGCCATCATGAAAGACACGAGTACTTGACTTGCGAATATGAAGATTATGTGTTGCGTATGAAGGAGTTTGAACGTGAAAGGAGACTATTGGAACGCCAAAAACGCATCGATGCTGCTGCTTAATGATAATTTAGAAAAAAGAGGTATCGCTACATAGAAAGAAGCAAAGCAAAGAATCAGTTACTTAGTTAAATCATAGTGAAGTGTTCCAGGCAAAAGTAAAATAAAGTTTGCGGGATAGTGCACGACAGAAAAACTGGCGCTGTATATTTGTGCTTAAACTTTAAATGTACCGCACATCTTGCTGCATACTTTTATCAAAAAAGATTATTATTTTAACATTTTTCAAAACAGAAGTACTAGCAGTAAGTAGAAAAGCCAGATCTATTTAAGTTTCTGTTGTTACTGATGCGTTAAACTTAGCTTTATTTAACGTCTAAATAATTGCTTTGCCCTTGATTTTCTTCGAGAACTTCATTTTCTTCTTTTTCGGCTCTTTAATGGCGGTGTCCAACGATTCAATGTTGTCATCTAAACGTTTTGTGCCGCTAAAAAAAAGGAGAAAAATTACATGAAAAATCATTAGTTTTCGAAAAAAATACACGCGTAGGATACCTTTTCACGGATATCAACGTTAATTTGGAAGGAACGTTGCTTAAAGCGTTTGTCCAGTCTTTTTCGTCACCTTTTATTTGGTAATCACTTTCTACCTTTAATTTCTTCAATTCTTCCTTTTGCTTCGCCGTCAACTGTCGGGCCGTTTCCTCCAATTCGTCGTTCAACGAGAGAGTTAAGGGCTCAAAATCGTTTCCATTATTCAATTGTTTGTCCTTGATCATATTGCTCTCAATTTCATTTTCGATAACAGTATTAAAATATTTTGTAATTTTTTTTATCATATCATAAAATTTGGCTAATATTTGATTTCCTGGCATATTCAGTTCGGCTGCTATGTCATCAACCTGTTTTCCTTGTATGCCAATTGCTAAAAGGATGGCTTTTTGCAGAGCATCTAGCTGAACATCGGCTACTTTGCCTTGAAAATATAAAGAACCAATGTCTGTGGTCAGATCCAAGATCAAACGAAATTCGATTTGATTGCGTGAATACAACTCAAGTCTTTGCAGATCGTGCGGTAGAAAGTAGACATCCAATGTTTGTTTATTCAAATCTTGTACGGAATCGAAACTAACCCATTTGTTGTCAAGCAGAGAAAGCGCCAAACTGGATGGAAATTCTCTGAATGCTTTGCTTAAAAGTTTGGTTATCCGCCGCCTAAAATCGTTAAAGTATAAATTTAACCAATCGGTGCACTTTTTTTCATTTTTTAATGAATGCAACATTATGCAGGTATGTTCCGCAGTAATTTCGTTCGCTTTTTGACTTATGTAAACAGGCACGAAACCCAGGCTTTTCCAGAATTTTAACAAATCCTGAGTGAGACCATATGAAGTGCCTAAATATTCAATATGTTCGGGAATACGTTCAGTTAAACGTTTCAAAAGCGTCGGTATTTTCTTACGGGGACGTATTTGCTCTTTAAGTAAGCCCACGTGATCTTCTTCAATTTCTTCGATGCCTGTAATATGAATACAAAATAAATGCGACTTTGGAAAAATATGAAATCCTGACTCACCGTTTTCATTTTCATCATTATTTTGCATCTCATTTAAATTAGTAAATTTTCTGCAGTAATAGTCTCTCAACAATTTTATAGCTTTCTTTCCATAGCCCATCTGCCAAGATGTTAAAGATACAAAATAATTGGGAGATTGCCGGATGAGTGGCGTTTTATCATACGAACCCTTTGATAGTTGGGATGGGTCGCAATACGCACTATTCGTATTCCTGGCAGCTTAGGAAACTCTCGATCGCCATATTGCTCAGATATATTCCAAGGTATCAAATCCCCACTAGCTTTCTTTCCTCTGCCTAAAGAATCGGTTATGCTTTTCGAGGATATTTCACCTTCTAAAGCGACTTGTATAACCACTAAAATTTCTGGCAATTGATCTTTACGTTGTATCGGTCCTAATAGACAAAATAAATGATGGGCTGGGGCATCGCTCATCATTTGCAAATCATTGGGGCTATTTTTATAATGAGAGGCCACGTATATAGACACCAAACGGTGTAAAAAAGATTCCGCCGCCTTGTGGTAGGAAAACAAAGCATCGCGGTCTATATAATATAGCTCACAAACATCGGGGTTCGGACAACCGGAATTGATAAACGCTACATTAGTTGCATCCAAGCACAATAAATTTATTAGCCAAGTTTCAACGTCGTCCCCTTCGCTGTACCGTATGGATTCTTCAAGTTTGATCTGTTCGGAGAAATTTAATCATAATTTTATAAGACGTGTCACTTCATTGAAATCACAAACCGGTGGAGAAGCTTTGTTCTCTTTTTGCAATTGTGTAATCAATTTTAAGCTCAAAGATCTTCCGGTTCCTTCATAGCCGTTAATTGTGGACGCCAAAAATATTAAATATGGACCAATCATTTTTTTTACCAAGGGCAGGGGTATAGCAGCCGCTTCATCAATAAGTAACAGATCGGCAGCATTTAAAAGATGTGTATCGTTCGGGGCAATGTATTGTATTGTTTGCCTGCCCATGCGTGTCATGTTAATACGTATGATGGCCTTTTTGTAATCGGAATTAGTAGAGCGTATGATTGTATAATCGGTATGCTCTTGATATGCTAAGCTATCAAATCCTTTAAGCACAAATTCAAACAAAGTTATCAAGTTCTCGGGATGGGGCGAAGTAACGTAAACATTTACATAGCCAAAAGCAATTGCTGCTGCTATTGAAAGACCCAAAGCTGCTGATTTGCCTCGGCCACGTGAAGCTGTTAACGAAATTGGCGGTCTATTGAAGAATAAAAACCATTCAGTAATAATTGAATCATATAGGATCATAAATATATCATTTACTTAAGTTGCTTTTCTGCTAAGGCTTCGATAAATTGAGCCACTGCTTTTGCTTGATCATAGGTTTTACAGCGATTCACTAGCGGCCCTGCTGGTGGAGTATCTCGTAAACTGTCTTTCAGTTCAGTTAATAAATCTTCGTTCTCTGATTTTTTTATTTCTGCAGGCTTAGAAGAAAAGTATTAGTGAAATCATAAGAACGACTTCTGTAACAATTATGGGAGAATTAGGAGGCTTTAAACAAATTCTTACATTAACGGGTACCACGTCAACAATTTTCGAGCTTAACGGTAATACGACAAGATCATCGCTAATCACTAAACATCTCTTGCAGTCGGCCAAAGAAAGTATAAGTCGTTCATTAAAACGACATGTAATTGTTTGGTGAGCTTCCGTACGGAATCTCTTGTGCACGTCCATGCTCATGGTAAAAAGCTGTTTCAATGAAGTTATAGACTTTAAAAGAAGAATTATAAGACCACCACCTTCTACAGTTTCCATTGTACGAGCCAGTAAATTTGGGGTTAAAGCCTCGAAATCCTATAAAATGTTGTCATATAATATTTTATACACGTTTTAGAAAATACGAAGTACCTGTAATACACAAACTCCATAAGTTCTTCCCAATATCGCGTGAGTTTCTGAATAATATCTTCCATGAATTGTGGTCGCCACACGAAAAGTATCAAATAGATCCGCATCGTTGATATCAATTTTACCTGCAGCTATTTTCTTTGCCCTTTTTTTGCCATGACTGAAAATATGATATTTAAATTAAATAAAAATTAATTTAGAGACTATGTAATTACTTAGATATGGCTTCATCTTTGTTTTTATAGCACCACAATACCGTTGGCCGGGCTTTCACGGTAGACTTTGTTAGAATGTCATATAAAATTGGTACCTAATATAATCAAGCGAATATCAATAACAATGTATAAGCACATGAATCTATTTGCTAGTTTACCTGGTCTCTGGCTTTGTCACCAATAATTACAAACATCGTCCTATGTCCCAACTTTACGCCATTTTCAATCATAACTCTTATACGATTGTCAATCTTCTTTTTAACCATCGCTATTGCGTCCTTTTAATATTTTTTTTAAAACTGCTAACTGAAGGGATAATGGCACGTGCAACACTTCTTTTAATACGTTCGTCCGCGCACAACAACTTTTAAGCAAGTACGTATAGAATATAATCTCACGAAACAGCTGTTTTTTGCGGTGACTCTACAAAGTCTAAACTAACAGATGAGAAGTCAAACAGTGATGTGTAACGAGCAAAGGAGGATCGTCTTTTGTTAGCTGCTTTCATCGCGCGGAGATATAAGGTCGGTTTGTTGGTTTGGATAAACTGAAAGCTAAAACTAGGCATGTATAATAAATACGTTTGAGTTTGCGAAACTCATATATTCCCAGATGAAAATTAATTATTTTATATTTGAATATTTCTGCAAAGCCGTAGATTGCTCATAGCTATGAAAAGAATTTGCTTATACTTCTCTGTTCCGTGGTATTGTTATTACATTAAGTAGAAAGCAATTAATATTCGGTTAGCTAGCTACACGTTTATTCCTAATGCTTTCGATAATATCAGCACCAGTTCTAAGTAAATGAACATTTTTCGCTTTTTCATTTAAAACTGTGCCTAACAAAGAAGACATTGATAATTTTTAATTTATATATATGCCAGATGGTGAATGTAGTTTCCAAAGACAGTTGGAATTTAAGATTTACTTGCAGGCAAAAACAAAATATATATAAAGTTGCTGTGAAGTAATATCTTGTTTTCTGGCTCCCATAAGATGTATTGAAGCTCTATTCGGCTCTCGAAAGTATTTCTAATTTAATATTTGTGTATAAAAAAAAAAATCAATTTGTTCCTATTGAGCAAAACTTTTCTTTGGGGTCTCAGTAAAAATATTGATACTTTTATACGACTCCGGCCAATCTAACTTATGCATAGTCAGGAACTGTTTATGTATAGACAGAAATGCAAAGGAACTTTGATATATTACGGTTGTTATACAGATCAGTTCATCTTTTGGTGACAAAATTTACCACCAGAAACAATATCCTGGATTCATAAATTAAGAAGAAAAATTGATTTGGGGTATTTTTGGATCGGGATATTGGGTTTTAAAACGAATTTGCAATTATTTTTGTAGAGTAAGTTTTCAATTTGTACTTTGGAGATGGAGTGACAAGATGTTGTCAAATAGATTGCGACGGTAAAAAGTATATGGAGTTATGGATAGTATGGAGATGCATTTTACCGCATTGTAAATCTGTCACGGTAAACTGCCGTGAATGTAATAAAAACTCTCGATAAAATTTATAGTAAATAACTTATATTTTCGATAATTTCTATTGGAAAATAGTATATTCTCTAAGCGCACATATTCTAGATTAAAACTTTAAGAGATATATATAGTTCACAGATTAAAGCATTTCACTTTTTTCGTTCATATTTAAATTCATAAACTGGGGGAGCATCCTTGGTTCCTTTCTGTATTTTTTTCGGCTTTTGTAAACGAGGTTGTTGCAAAGCTTTTTTAATTGCCAACTTTTGTTGCACTATAGCCAACTCTTTTTCTCGCTCTATACGTTTCGTTAATTCTTGATAAGCCTGCTGTTTTAAAGCGTTCGCTTTTTTGATTTCCTGGAAATTGAAACCATCAAAAAGAAAAATAACTTACTATCAATTTACATTTGCATTTTCATACTTACATAAGGATTTAGTACTGTAAGGTTAATTTTGTCAAGATGGGACAGCCTCGGCCTATTTGTTTTGCGTTCTATAAGATCAGGGTGTGTGTCTAAATGTTTAGCTAAATCGAATTCTGTGGACTCTGCAACTGTGCCATCATTCGTATTATCGTCTTCGACAAAGAAAATATGTGTATTAGGAACTGTATTAGCAAAATCGATCATGTGTAGTTGCGACTGCAAACGTTTGATTTTTTTGGTCTCTATTGTGCGTTTCATAGTTACATATTTTAGATCTTGCGTCTGCATCAACGCTATCTGTTCCTTGCTATGCTCATCCTTTTCGCTTTCATCTTGTTCATGATGTTGCCCATCCTTTAGTTTGGAACGTATCATATGATGATAAAACTCATCCGGATTTTTATTTAAGGCGCGTTTGTGCAATAAGTGCAATGTTTTCGCTTTGCGTTCCGCATCACGTGCTCTCCTTTGGTAGTCTTTCTTTTTTTCGAGTAAACCCAAATGTTTACGGGATTCTGGTTGATGACGTTCGCGATGAACTTTCTGGTTACTCTTAGATGCTTTTTTCCAAGATGACATTTTTATAGCAGTATAACTTGAATTAAATATGTCATAAGAAATCTGCCTCTATAAACACAACTTCCAATTCTCCGCTCAACAATTTATTTATTCGTGTCTTGAAGAGAGTTGCCAAGTATTTGGCTGCACCAACTGGACAGTGTTGTCATTTAATAACTGTGAGGCTGGAGGGTAATCAGGTACGAGAAATTTATGTTTCGCAGTTGTATTTAGTTATTTGGATAAAATAGCTGAAAGCTAACTTTCGTTTACGTGGTTATTATTAATTTAGCCAGAGAATAAATTCGAAGATTATAATTTCAAGGAATAGCGTGCAAGTCTGTCGGCTTTATTGAAACAACACAGCACTGCGAATTTTCGGCTCTTGATATGCTGATTTGCAAAAAGGAAGAAGCTACGCCCTCTTGCGCATTGATTATGTAGCTTGCATTAATTCTCCGTTGCTTTGACAACAAAAGAAAGACAATCTCTTTTTTTGTTACATGGTAAGACTTCAGATGGACAGGCGGAAGGATATTCTTCAATTGATTCAGAGAACGATTTTGAATTGATCGGTATAACAAAAACGAGATCTATCTTTAGTCATTCTAGGTGTTACATACATAAAAGTGCATAAACTAATAATTACTTTGTGCCACAAGAGGTGTAGGATTTAAAAATACAATATTAAATAAATATTGATGTATAAGAGTATAGATTGTTTGTTTAAGATCTTTCATGGATTGATTTTTAGGGATTCAATGTTTTTTAGACTGCACAATAGTTCGATTCGTAATGATTTATCTATCTATATATATATTTGCAGAGGTATATCGACGATCTGCTCTTCAAATTGCTGTTTCAGGATCAATCTTATTGCTGGTAAAAATTTTATCGTCGACATAATGTAACGTAAACTATTTTTGACGACTAGTTCAATGATAAATTATTTTAGCTGTGCTTAACATTTCTATAAATGTATTACATCGAGCTTGGAATTAAGAAGAAAAAGAAAAAAATGAGACAAACGTTATTATGTAATAAAAGAGTAACAAACAGTAAAAAAGTACAAAGTAAATAAAGTTAAATATTCTTATTTAGCAGCTACACTGAACATATCAAATAAAAGCGACTGTTAATTTATTGCTAAAATTGTGCACTTCATAAAAGAAGAAGAAGAAATTAAGGCGCAAAATGCAAGACAAGGAAGCCAATGTCAGGGAGATGAAGTACGTAAGAGGATACAGTGTCTATGAAAATTGGCAAGGTAGCTTCCTATTTATATATTTATTTATTTATTGTCTATATATTTTTGTAAATACATTGATAAGGTTTGGATTTAACGGCTGCCGGGTAACTTAGATCATACGCTCTTCCGTATTGAAAGCTCTATCGCACTGGAGATTTGAACTCGCAACCATTGATTTATTCGCCACGAACCTTTGGCTACTCGGCTGATCATGCGAATGAATTAGTTCATATATCCAAGATCCAAATTCATAGCAGGCATACGATGTTTTTTTTTTTTTTTTGTAATTAGAATATTATTATGCAAAGTGATATAAAATGTATGACTTTTTAAGATATTCGTTAAAATTTCCAAATCAATGTATTATTATCAATCGAACAGCTCGAATCTGGAGTGCAATAGACAGCATAGCTTTCAATAAAGACGATAGTCATAGGTGCTAGTGCGCTTAATACTTTACACTTGGAATTTATTTCCCTGGCGAAGTTATTAGGTGCTTGCAGAGATTCTGATCGCTTTTTACTTGAAAAAGGCATTTATTGTGGAAAATTGGTACAAAATGTGTTAATCAAATTAGTTGCTATCATTTTTCACAATATATTATGACAATACGGCGATATCATGTCGAAAGAACTAATATTGGCTTGGCATCGATCCAATCACCGATCCATTTTCGCGCTTTTTCTACGCCTGGTGCGGATTTCTTCAAAACAATAACAAAGCGCTTCATGATTAGCGTCGGCGTACGCTGAACAAATCAATAATATTAAATGGAAAACTGTGAATTTATGCAGAGGAGCGTCAAAACCATCGAGTGCAAGCTTTATATACGCAAGTATTTGTCATTTCTTTATCATTTTTACCTATCGAAGTCTCTGATCAAAATTTTTGAAAATACTTAATAATAATGATAATAGCAACAATTTTTTTTGTGTTGCAATCTTTTTACAAATTTCTCGAAATATTTTGATACTTCATTTTTTTTAGTTATGTTTTATTTATATTTAATTGTTTAGTGTTTTAACATAATTTTTAGAGTATTTTCGGCATTCTTACGACCATTTAATGTGTACGCCAAGTTGTTATCATCGCTGTTCGCCTTTAGGTTGTCGCAGGCACTTTGATTGATTGGAAACATAAACGATAAATCAATATCGTATCGCGGTAATTTCTCCCTGCAAATGGATTTTGGAATCTTTCATTATAATATTACAATTAAGAGGATCACAAGGGACATTCAAAATGTCCGTTATAGCGTACCTCAAAAAGTTGATCACATTATCACCCAGCTGAGGTTCTCTGGATAGCAAAAGCGCAGACAGATAACGAGGATGTTTCTTCTTTTCAGCACAGTGCATGATTAAGCCCCAAGTTCTATAATCCGTATCCAGAACATAGGTGTTGTAGATACCTTCGTCTTTAAACGTTTAAATGCTTAATATTGTCTGTACATTTTTTTTATCAAAAGGTACATGTGCATATGTTGCTTTGAATTTTGAATATTTGTAAAGAATCATTTCTCTCCTGCTATTGTTTTCGACATGTAAAAGACGGAGCTTAGAGAGCAATTCACTTGCTAAGTGTTTAAGTTACTTAGTTCATTTTTTTTATATTTTGAGGAATGATATATTAATAGACGAACACGATTAAATTAACTTGGAATTTCTCTATGACAAAGTGTATATAACACATCATCATCAATAGATTTCCTGTTTGACGCATATACGGTATCACTGCTCACCGACCCATACTATTGCGTAGTATTTGTATATATATAATATTTGTGCACGATAAAACTCGGCTTCAATTGGGGATCGCGTTTGCTCACTTTTGAGCAACGCCAACAACTTATTGATGAATCAAAGCGTTGTTGGCTTAATGTTGGGTGAAATAAAAATTATTTTTTCAGCATCATGTCACAATGAACGGAATACTCATTCATGACTACGCTCTCGAGTCAAATCGACAGTCATCCAAAGCGACCAGAGAAGTAATGACACAAAAACAATTGTAACTTGCAAACTAATGGTTGAAGTGCCATTAAATGTTGACACGTATCGTTTGAAGGGTGGTACTACCCAGAAATCATATAGGTCGGTTAAGAGTGATACCGTGCATACGGCAGATAGACGACTTATTGAGAAGACTTATTGAGATATGTCAATATGAAATCGAAATTTGCACACAGACGGCCCCAGCTGTCAAGGTGGTGCCATTTAAACTGCATCACTGACGTCATTTTCTTGCTGACCTCAGACAAACCTTTTGCTACGTGCGCGAATATAAAATTTTTATAATGGCGTAGTTTGTAATAGCGTTCGACATGACGAGCTTTGCGGCCAAAAATGTAGCCGAATGATGTAAAAGAAAGCCTTTTTGCATCGCATCGTTTCTGGGAATGACAAGCGGACATATTCAGAGAATATTTATGGTTAGACCAAGGCGTACCGTTAGGACGAAGCGATATAGCAAAAAGACGGTAATCTGTGTTTCGTAAGTCCGGCAGTGCTTAGAAGTCTGACGAAACAGTTAACACCAAAGCATGGGCAAAGTGTTAAAAAAGCGCTGAACAATGACATCTTTTTACATGGCTCGTGACACGTTAGAAATACTCGATTGAGAACGGCTGGCTTATGTGATTTATTCCTCAGACTCGAGCTGTTTCGATTACTACTAGTTTGTATGAGCGACTCGTTGGATGATTGAAGTGAAAAGGCACGGTATCCATAAATTGCCAGACAATCATTTATCATTTTCATACAGTAAATGTGTATTTTGTAAATTTTCTCCTCCGATTTCATGTTGACCTATCTGGTATAAAATAATCGTCTACTTTTATCTAAAGCGATCCGTTTACAAATTTCCGTTTTTGATTGATTGGACTTTGCTAATATATGCTCATGTATGGAAATGGAACTTATAAATCTATATATGCTACTGTGTTCAAAAAGTAAGACCAATTTAATTTTACCTCTTTTTAAATCTATTTATACTACGAAATCTAGTTCGTCGGGTTAAAGTAATCTCCCTCAGATAGCATACACTTATGCCAACGATACTCGAAACAGTCGATTTCCGGAATGGCCTTCAGGCCGTTCTACGATACAGCTCGTATCTCCTCAATCGAGTCAAAACGTTGTTGCAGGAACGGTCTTTTGGGTTTAGGAATTAGCTCGAAATCACAAGGGCTTGAATCAGGTGATAACGATGGTTGTGGAATGATATGGCCTCGAAGAACTAATGCGGAAATTGAGTGCTTTTGGTCCCAATCGAGATTTAACGCTTTTCAGTCTCAAAATATTTTTTTAAATGCTGTTAACTAATTGATACGTTCGAAATGCCAACAGCGTCAGCAAGATGCCTAATTGTTAATTGACGGCTTTTTAACATCGAATCTTTTTGGTTTGTTTGATTTGACTTTCACCGGTAGAGATTGATGGTCGTCCGGGACGTTCTTTGTCTTCAACACGTTCTCGGTCATCTATGAACTACTTACACCACTCGTAAAAATTCCCTTCCGACCAAGTCTGCTTATCGAAGACTGATGTGTTTGCACAAGAAATTTCATTTCGTCTCGTACAAAACCAAGCGCACTAATCAAACTCTAATGTTGTTTATTATGTAAGATTTGACATAGATGTTCGCCACAGTTCCGCCAATTTACGAAAAAAGAACATTTGCGATATTCGATATATTTGCGCAAGTTGACTTGAATATTGGTCTTAATCTTTGAACACGGTATTATATATTTTATCTATTCATGACACAACAATTTATGGCATACATACAAATGTCTTCAGTATGCATCCAATGGGCAGGTGTATTAAAATCTGGTATTTGCCAAGTGATATTCCCTTGTAACTTTTCCTTCATTGGGTCCTCAGCGAAAATATATGTAAAGTTCATAGTGATCTAAATATATATATATATATATATATATATATATATGTAAATATATAAATGCATATGTATAATATAAAATCGTTGTTCATTATGTAAAGTCTTTGTTATATTAGTTAAAATTCTAACCTTGCGTAACTTTGATTTGCGTAAACTTGTATATTAATAAATGAAATGCATGCGAAAGCATGAAAGCAAATCATTATCAAGACAATGTGTGGCGTCAAGTATTAACTTCATTCTACAAATTTATTAATTTTTGAGCATAGGAGCATTGGCAGTGCATTCTAGTCTGTATTTTTATAAAATTGCCTCCTTAGACAGTTATGAAGATACGTAGGAACTGAGTTTAAAATAATCCGAGTTCGTGTACCTATGTATAAAAATACATCTGGATCTGGCTATTAAAGTATTTCGCGCCGACAATCTAAATAGGAAGGATAAGGAAACGTGTACTTATTTCAGTACATTGCATTGATTGAACTCAAGTTTAGACGTCGGCATATATTTAATAGCGTGATGTAATTAAATCTTTTGTCTGGTCTATATATGCACGACGCCTGATATCAGGTAGTGCCTAGAAATAGTCATTCGTAATACGTAGATTTCGGAAAGGGTTACATACCATGTAAATGGTAGTCGTACAAGTTAAACATGTTGAACTAGTTGTCTTCCAGTTATTTATATTAATCAAAATCAGATTCATTTTATTGGGAAAAGTTGGAAAACCATTAGCTCAAGTCAAGGTTTATATATTCTATTTAAAATAATGTTAAAATCTCGCGCTTAGCAGTAATAAGATTTTGATGCTTTGCAAACGATATAACGAAGTCAAACTACTTTTCTGATTGCATGGGCTAACGAAAATGTGCATGATCTACGTACATATGTGCATATGTGTGTTTCATTTTACTATCAAAAGTCACATTTAGTACTTGACTTTGGCTGGAATCAAGTGAAAGTTGTTGTTTCTGATCGAGAAAAAATAAACGCACGTATATATGCCCCCCTCCCATCTTTCCGAATATAAAAAGAAAAATTTCACTTACACATGTTTGTGTATTTGGCGGAAACCAGTTCCTGGTTTTTCTTTTTTTTCTGTTCTTAACTTGTACGTCAAGTGTACAATTTACATTTTTTATATAGGTGGCGGTAAATGTGCACATGCGTGTGTGGCTAGGATACTTACATGATGATCGTCACTAGAGAATGTAAAGTGACTGTGCATGCAGGCATATTCCGGTAGTTCTTCGGTAGATGCATAATATTGAATAACGTGCCAAAAACCCATCATAGCTTCTAAATCAAAATTACGTAGAGCACGTACCTAAGTCAAAAAAAAAAAGCAAAACAAAAAACTTACATATATCAAAGGTCTATATGAACTTTAAAGTGTTTCTCGGATAGAAACGCTATAAATCTGTACATCTATCTATCAGTGCAATTCAATATATTACGTCTGCAAATAAATTCTCGTCTTTTTCCTGATGAAATTCGAATTCAATTGAAAAATGCTGACTATAAAGCTGAATAATCGAAATATGGAATATCGTTCGTTATGGTCTTTTAGCTTTTATCGAGTAGTCTGCGGATACCTACACGGTAGAGAGTTCGTGATTTCGAGGTGAAATGGTCGTCGACCTATTTTGGCACCTGTCCGACTTTGCCGACCTGGCTATCTGCTACATATGATTGTACCAATTCGAAACAGTGTTAATAGGAATGTGACAGGTCTGGAGAATAATCCACAATCGGGTGAAATTTCCAGCCCAAGGCAAAGATCATTTCATGTATTGCTTTTGCTTGCGAGGGATGGGCATATGCGAATTTTCATCACGAAGCAAAATCACTTTTCGATTTCTTTTGCCCGTAAATGGTCGCTTACACTTTCATTAAGCACCTCATTCATTCATGAAATTCATAGAAATAAATCATATATAGGAGGGAAGGAAGTGTAAGCTCTTCAAATGAAGTTCTACCCTTTACTTATGTAACTCACTACGTCCATTATGCGTTTTGTGTTCATGATTTCGGAATGAAGCAGTATGATTTTCGAAGAGTGTTCCAGTGTTCCAAATGTGAAGACAACATAATATATATTCTGTTGCGGACGATTCTTTTACACTTTACGTCGTTGTCCGATTTTTGTAGAATAATTTTTTGGCAGTTTAATTGTAGCAAAAACCAAGGTTCTCAGTCTTGGGCCCGTATCCTTTGAACGTCTGTTTGGCCTCTCCTCAAACTCTTTTTGTAAATTTTTAGATGATTACTTCTACTTTGCGAAGGGGAGAATGTTTACTACAGACACTATGCAGTTGGGCAGAAGTGAAAATATATGCTTTTTGGACTCTTTAAAACTTCCTTCTGGACGGTGTAAATGTTTTGACAAAATGCACATACTCCTCCATACCCCGGTAATGGATATATAATATGATATAATTTAGTAATTGACATTTTTGAGAATCATTACATCATAGATATTACAGTGAGAATCTTACAAATCAAATATTGATATAAATTTAAAATGCAAAATTTTGTGACATTTGACACGAGGCGGTCATAAACAGCTTAGCGTTAGGTGACCAGGACAAGCCATTTGCTAAAACATTGAAATATGTCGATTTTCACTTCACGTTGATGTTATCATCGAGAAAACTGAAGGAGTTTTTTTTGAAGTATCGCTATGTACGTCTCCACTCTTTACATGGAAAAAATTCGTTTGTTTGACCTATGCCTACGTGAAATATTTAGGTTAGGGAAATTGTGAACTTATCACGTTTACTATTTGTCGGTGCTTTAAAGAACGATGCAGATTTCATAAGTAATATTTAAAATTAATTCATTCAACTATCGGACAATTGTATTACTTTCATTATGCGTTATCTACTTACGTCATCTACTTACCCCAAAGAAATGAATTCTTAGTTTAAAATAAGGCGTACATTAATAGCTAAAATTATCGGCTTTTTATTCCGCACCTATTGGTATGTTAATAAGACCATTTTTTATGGTATTATTACACGGTGCGCTATTTATACTATAGAGGTATATTAAGTTTGTGCGATTGCATGCAACACCCAGAAGTATTTACCTTTTTTCCTATGCCGAGCAGAGAGTTTAATTTTTTGAATCAATCTAAGCTTGTCTGTCCATCTGTCGCATTTGTTTCCTTATGTTCAGCCTGCAGGTCGCAATTTTCTCGATCATTCGCCCTATAATTCCTTCTTTGGAAAGTCTTTATATGAGTTTTTGTTTTAAGTAAGGTGGTGTAGGGTATTTAATGGTGAGCCATCTACCACTATAATGGTTTTATTTGCATTACCCGTGTAATGCAATGGCGAATTTGTAAATTAATTAAAGGGAAAAAATAGATCAAATCGTATACTCTTCCAGAGAAGACATTGTATTGTATGGACTTATAATAAAATGTATAATTGGTCGCGTAATATTCAGTCGCTTGCATGTACATTTAATTCGTATTGATTGATGTTGTTTGCCGGCCAAATTATAATCAAGGAATTTTCTCGAAAGAGTTGAAAATGTCTTTTCGCCAAAAGCGTGTACGAACGTCTCTTCTCCCTCTTTTCAGCCATCATTACGAATAACTGATGGTTGCTAACGTACCTGCCTAGGTCACAGGTAAGTATAATTTAAATAGAAATTTTTACATCAAAGCAGAAGACATGTGGGAAGTTGTTATGAAACGAATGAATCTTTATACGAAACATTTAAAAGAGTGTTACATAAATAATGCTTCAAAGAGCGACGATGATAATAAAACTTTAAAGGAGAGTGAACAGGAGGAATGATGAAACGACTAAAGGGAGAATGGAAATAAAAATGAAGTGGAAATGGGATAAGAAAGTGTTTGCTTATACACAGGTCGTTAGAAAAATAGGTCCGAGATGTACTTTTTAGTTCTATGTAAAAGGTAGCTTCAGCAAAGCTGGCCTAGCGTTTTTACACGTCTCCACTACTTTCGCTTTAGCAGCTTTTCCACGCCTACAATGATATGGATGCGTTTTCTTTAAAGTTGTGAGAAATGAAATGATTTGGTGGATTGTAAAGGCAAATCGCATTTCTTGGTGGAGATCAGAAGGCGAAAAAAACTGACAAACATACCTTGAAGCGATAAATCAAAAATAAATTTGTTTGGAAATAATTTGAGAACGAAGAAATGCGCTTCGGTCAAGCACTCAAGGCAAAATGTTCCGAACCAGATTTACGAAAAAAAAAAAAAAATCGGAGTATGGCGGAAGAAATTTTATGAACTGGGGCCGCCTTGTTTATAAGGTTGTGGGTCTGATTCATCTCAGAATATGCTATGGAATCTGTTAACGAAATTTCAGCAACATAATGATCCGAAACGTGATTCCGGCAACATAACATGATTGTCACTGAACGGGCATCCCAGTCTCGGTTCTCCTGAGAATCTTTGGCAAGGTCTAAAGCGTCATGTTTCCTGTAGCAACAAAAAACAATTGTGGAAAAATCTACAGGGAGAGTACGGTATAATATATTTATTCCTTCAGTAGATTAATTACAAAAATCGAGGCTGTCCTTAAAAACGGCAATGGTCGTACCGGCTATTGATTTTTGATTACTTTTACTTATGAAATATTGCGTTACTATTAAATTTTTGGTATATAAACGCGGGACCGCGCAATATTTTTGAACTGCATATCTCTTTAACTTTTTGTTTATACTTAACAGATAACTGTAAAACTGTAAATAAATAAATGCTAAATATAATATAATACATAATAGGAGGGCAATGGATACGAACACATTCCGCCAATATAAAGCAACGTACACTTATTTTTCTTTCCATCCATCGGTGTACGTAACAAATATTAATATTAAAAAAAAAAATTAGTAGTTGGACGTGTAGTGTGTGCTGTAAACGATCCTTTAATATTTATATATATATCTGTTATATTTTTTGTATTACTGTAACTATTATAAAAACTTAAGCTCTAGAATCTGTGATGTTTTTTCATTGAGGTCAATGGCGATCGTCGATCGATTGAATTGCATGTGAGTTACATTATAATAATGGTAATAACTTACGTTTGGGCATCTTCTTTTTAAATCGGTTCGTTTTCGAGTCGTATAACTATTGAACTTTAACCATGAATATGTAAATTCCGTACAATATAAGATTATTGCACATAATATTAGCAATTTATTATTTGCAGCCATTTTTTTTTTTTTTTCTTCTTTTTGACTTCAATAAGCAAACACTTCCGGTTATAAGTTATTTATTTTTTTCAAAACTATCACGTCATGTCAATAAGAATACCAACACTTGACTATTGCTTTGTGAGTTTTTTACAAATCTTCAAAGAATTTTGTGATATGTGTAAAAATACCACATGGATAAAGTGTATACATTAGAGTGGTTCGTAAACCCCATTACCATTATTATTATTATTATTATTATTATTACTTTTTGTTTTCGTTATCAGTACGCTTTGGCACTTGTGTGTGTGTGTGTGTGTGTGTGTGTGTGTGTGTGTGTGTGTGAGTATTGCGCTTATTAAAAAAAATAAAGTTAAAAATCTTGGAAAAAATGCAAGAAATTTATGTTGAGCTCTCAAAAACAACACACACAAATTAAAAAATAATCTTGAGCCATTTACTAGTAGACTTTTTTTTTTAAGTACATACTGTACCATACATATAGAATGCCTAATAACGATAATTATAATCTTTCATATTATTTGATTTACTGGACGGTATGTTAATTACATTAATAATCTTTAATGTAAAGGGGTCTGCACAATAGCGCATTGAAAATTTCCTAAAGGGTAACTAAACTCTCTCTTAATTTAATGATTAAATCTATATATTTTTCAGTTGCGTTGCGTAGTTGTGCGCATAACTTGAACATAAATTCACTTTTTCCTGTTACATTGATGATGATCCTCAAAAATGCATTTCACAAATTATTCAGTTTCAGCAATAGCGTCATCTTTTAATGTGCACATGCTATTAGTTTAATTTTTTTCGCACATGATTCTTAGTGCTATGCCATGAGTGCGTTCATCTATATCACATCATCTTAATAATACATAGCTTGCGTATGCAAAATAAAGTGAAAAGAAATTGTGCAGCTGATGGGTGCTAAAAGATTCGGTTCAGGCCTTATGCAGCTCTTTCTTCCTCTGAATGTAAATTTAATCAGTTTTCTCGCAGCAGAAATTCAAAATAAATAAAAAAAAAAAAAAACATACTTTCAGAATTTCTCAACAATTGTCGGATGAGGTGTCGTAGAAAAGCGTTAGATTCAGGTCACATTCTCACGTTAATGTATTTGCTTTAAATCAGGGATAGGGTACCTTCTCAAGATTGTAAATATGAAATTTATCGTTTCGTGTCATTTTCTTTTTAATTGATATTTATGCGAATGAAATTTAGGTCCATGATGCTTAAGAAGTATTATAACTCATCATTGTTAGGTGAGGCATAGCGCATAGAGTAGACAAAAGTCTGCGACCATCAAGCCGGTGTTCGCGCATTCAAATCTCGGTGGGGTTTGTTATCACACTTGGTCGTAGCTGTAGTGATACTTACCTATTGAAGCACATATCTACTGGCTTGCGGCTGCGGCCCTCTCATCCTACCTCCTTCTTGTTCCCTTCACATAACCGTGTTACTCGTCTAGGTAACATCCCTTGGCTGACTGGTCATCTTAAGCAAAAAAAAAAAAAAAAAAAAAAAAAAAAATCGTACTGTGGCTGAAGAGCTCAAAAGTGTGGATGAAGAGGTTAAATATGTTTTTTTCGAATTAAAGAAGAAAATATTCCGGAATGCGTCATTTTTTCTCAGAGATGTCTCTTCTGCTGCTAAGTTGCCTGCAATGCTGGACTCAGTATTTCAATATCTCCTTTTTTATGTACATGTTACGTACAGTTAGTGTTAATGGTTTTCCTACTCCTGCATTGTGGTTATTTGTGCTCTCGATATCGTAGTGCATTCACTATTCATTACCCGCAAGTACTTAACAGTACTAGATTTCGAAATGAGCAGGAAAAAGAATATTTCATACAAATGATCTTCTTCTTCGTACTATACTGTACGCTTTAGCGTGATAGTTTAGAGAGTTGCGTATAGCTTAAGGACAGTAGTATTGTAATAAAATCCTTTGCGTTGAAATCTTTTAACATTTGTTGATGTATTCTCTCTAGCGACTGGCGGTGCACTCTTTTGTATTCTGAAATCAGTTTCAAAAACATGTTCTCCATATCTAAAATCCTCAAATCCATTAATTTTCTATTGACTGACTCTCGCTTATGCAATTTGTTTTTTAAATGCCGTAAAAAACAATCATTAGTTGATAAATCTTGCTTATACGGTGATTAGCTGGTTGGGAGTTCAGAGTCACCATACTAAATTGATATGAAAAATTTTGGATTGGATGCGACAATGTTTTAACCCCTTCCCATACAAAGCTGCAACGAAAATTGAAATTTCATTTATGGTGAAAAAAGTGCAATTTGGAGTATACGATGGTTGAAAATTTTCGCATAATAGTAATCTGGAATATATATTAATTTTACCGAATGTGGGCTATGTAGATCTATATTTTGAATACCACTTCACATAGGGGTTCCAAGGATGCAAAAAAAAAGAATATAATTTTTAATATTCTGTGAAGAAAATTGTATGATAGGAAATTTGGATTATCCAGGTCTATTTTTTATATCCTATTTCATATGAGGATATCTAAGGGAAAGCAAGCCCTTATATGACGACAAAGTGTAATTTAAACCAAATGAAAACTAATTAAATTTCTAACAAGGAATTAAGTTTGCTAAGTTTTGATTACGTCAGTTGACGTTTTGGTCACCCGCAAATTCGGAGGCATCTTGTGAAAAGTGCAACTTTACTTGAAAATAATGTAAAATTTTCATTGTATTATGAAATGAAGGAATAAATGTATTAGGCAAATTGATGTTCGACTATAATTGTTTTTTTTTTTAATTTCCAACTAAGTTTAGCGGGTGTAAAAGATTCGGCCTTGGCCGAGGATAATTTCTATACTTGTTTTTCTTTATTAAGAAGATGCACGAATAAAGAGATCAAGTTTTATACATTTTATATTCGTTACTTAAGGCCTGGTGCACTGTGTTTATTATGTCACATGTAACACTTAGATATACGGATCACATATCATGATTTTATTCTTTTGTGCACTGTTGAAAGTTCACCGGTCCCACAATCAAAAAGATGAAATAATTGCGTCATTTATTAATTTGTGGCAGTCTTAGATTACATTGAACATGTGAGAAAGTTATATTCGGCAGTGGCCGAATCTCGCACACCCAGCACTATGTTTTTCGCATTCTACTCCCCCAGTTTTTTTTATTTGACACCCATATCGCTAGGATTATTAAGACAAAAGTAATCGCGGTATCTAACACCTTCATTTTAAAATGTACCCCTTTTTAGGTAGACAATATATCTTCATTTAAGGACTATACAAAATAGTTTTAAACACTCGGTCTCGTCTGCCTTATGATAAGTAAGCATAGCACGTCAAAAAAGTGAAAAAAAAAACAAAGCTTAATCACTTGTAGCTGAGTGCAGGTATGACGGATGCTTTCCATTTATGCACGTAAGGAGTAAAGTGCTTCGTAAAGTGTGTGTGTGGAACATTTCAGCCTTTTAACTTTTATAATTTGTGAGTAACGAGCAAAAAACCAAAAATCGTTCCTAAAAAAGACGTAGTTTACGCTCCACTGCGTGCTTCGGCTCCGACCGATTTGTTCTACTTTCAACATCAATCTGCGTGCAGGAACTTTTAATGTTCTACTAAATTTGAAGACGCACAGACACACAGACGGATAGACATGGCTAAATCAACTCAGATTTCAGAATTTCACGCTGATCAAGAGAAGGTTTTTAAGGTCTCTGTTGCTCCCTTTTCGGCGCCGCAAACGTTTTGACAAATTGAATATATCCCTCATCTTTCGATAATGGATATAAAAGAAAGAAGAGAACATAGCCTCACAGTTCTTTATTTACCCTATCATTGTGTTATTAAATAAATCCAATTTAAATAATACGAACTGATTAGGAGTTAAGTCGAGTATTAAATAGATCGTTTGAGTTTTTATTTATGTAAGTATAGGTTATTACCTTTCAGTTTCCAGGGGTTATTTGAAGATATAATAATACTTTCTACGATTTGAGTTTGAAGCGTCAGTATAAGCGCAGGTGCAAGTTGCGAAATGAAAGTTCATTTATATGAAACGAGTAAAGCGCACCACAGTCAAAGACCAAAGAGTTGAGGACGATATAGAATTTTTGCGTACATCGATTTTCCTTTTCCAAAGCTCATAGAGGAATTTAAATTTTTACATTAATCTCGCGCGTTTTTTACAATTATAACGATGACGTATTGCGCTGTTATTGAGTTCCTTCGTTACTTATGTTTCACATGTATCGAGTAATGGCCACACCATTTGATCAAACTCGCCAATGTAGTTTTGTCATATATTGTAACATTATGGTATAATGTTGGCCAAACAGGCTGTGCCTGCGCATATATGCAGTTAAAGTGCAATATCGTCTCTCCATCTACTGAATGTACAAAGCAAAGATCTTAAGAGTTTTCAAATAGAGAGCCGGAACTTATACAGAGAGTGACGTTTTAAAAATTGGAAAACTGTATCATACCTTGCTGTACAGTTATATACCGCATTGTTGTCGATGCTTCTTCAACTGAGATTGGGCCTTCACAAACCAACATATGCTTACATATGTGCTTCTATAGTAGGCTATTGTGTGTGTATGTGTGGGTGTGTGTGTGTGTGTGTGTGTGGTTTTTTTTTGTTTTTTGGGTGGAAAACAATCGACAGGTGCCCACTAGGGGCAGTGCGAGACTTTAACCCGCTAAAAATCATCTACACTTCTATTCCCTACCCTGTGGCACGACCTTTACAGAAGGTGTTGCCATTTAGGCACTATTTAAAGGCCTACGTTGACGATCTTCATTTTTTTGGTTTCTCATTATGTTTGTGATGAAGTTGTCGGCGAGAAGAAACCCTCCGATTTCCATCTGTAGTCTCTATCGTTCATCATGGAAGTTCGGACAGACATAGAACGCATGTTCAGCGTCTATGAGGCACTTACAAAAATTACAAAATGGGTCCTGCTCTATCTTAAATCTATACGAGTAAGCTTTAACACAACCATGGCTGATTAT